GCTCTGGCGTGGGCTGGTCCATGAGGTCACGAAGAGTCGGAGACGACTGAACGAATGAACAACAACACACCTTTCTATGTATAAAGCTACACATTGGTTTTTTGTTTGTTTTTTGTGTGTGTGTCAGGAGTGACTTGCGAAACTGCATTGGTAAACCACCTGAATTTTACTACTTGCATATATTGCAGCAACCTTCTGGAATGTTTTGTGGAGTGTTTAAGTTGGGAGTTTTTAAGTTGCCTTTAACACAATTCTTGAGCCCCTGGTGGTGCAGTGGGTTAAACTCTTGTGCCGGCAGGACTCAAGATCAACAGGTTGCAGGTTCAAAGCCAGCGAGAGCGCAGATGAGCTCCCTCTGTCAGCTCCTGTTCCCCATCAGGGGACATGAGAGAAGCCTCCCACAAGGATGGTAAAACATCAGAACATCCGGGTGTCCCCTGGACGCTGTCCTTTCAGCTAGTCAGTTCTCTCACACCAGAAGCAACTTGCAGTTTCTCAAGTCACTCCTGACACACACACACACAAAATTGTGTATGTTTTGGGTGGGATGGTTATTTGTTTATGTATTTTTCTTTTGTACGGCATTGAATGTTTGCTGACTTTGTTGTTCACTGTCCTGAGTCCCTTCGGGGAGGTAGGATGGTATATAAACAAAGATGATGATGATGATGATGATGATGATGATGATGATTAATTCAAAGCTATAGAGTCATGTAGTTTAGTGAGGCAGCAGCACATTTTCGTAGAGAAGGCTAAAGAGTTTATAGAAGTGCAGCTCCCATGATTTTATAGTACCGTATATTCCGGCATATAAGACGACTGGGCGTATAAGACGACCCCCAGCTTTTCCAGTTAAAATATAGAGTTAAGACGACTCCCATGCATAAGACTACACCCGCATATAAGACGACCCCTGACTTTTGAGAAGATTTTCTTGGGTTAAAAAGTAGTCTTATACGCCAGAATATACTGTATTTGGTCATGGCAGTTAATGCGGTGTCAAACTTCATTACTTCTACAGTGTAGAGCAGGCATGGGCCAACTTTGGCCCACCAGGTGTTTTGGACTTTATAACTCCTAATACTTCCTAAATGTGAGTTTTTCCAAAACGTGAAAAACTCACATTTTTGAAAGAATGAAAGTAACACTTTTCTTTGTCTGTAATAGCACTGTATTGATAAGATACAGTTGAGCATCCTTAATCTGAAATGTATAGCACCAGAATTATTTTAGATTTTTTGGGTTGGTAATTTTGAAATACTCTACCAGTATTTGCATCTATGAACATAATGAGATGTCTTGGGATGTATCTGTACTGTAGAACGAATGCAGTTTGACTTCTTTAGCTGCCATAGTGCCTTCTATCCTTTGGAATCATGGGATTCATACTTTTACAGGGTCTTTAGCCTTCTGTGCCAAAGAATGCTGGGGCCTCACCAAACTACAGATCCCATGATTCCATAGGATATCATCAAGTTAAGGCAGGTAAAGTGGTGTCAAACTACATTCATTCTGTACAGATGTGCCCTTGGAAATAGGGACCCAAGTCTAAAACCCAAATTTATTGATGTTAAACCTATACGTTATCCACATAGCTTGAAGATAATTTGATTCACAATGGTTTTATTAATTTTGTGTATGAAACAAAATTTGTGTACATTGAACTACCAGGAAGCAAAAGTGTCACCATTTAGACAATTTGGGTTTTTGGAGGATTTTTAGTTTTTGTAATTCCAGATAAGGGATACTCAACCTGTATCTGTAGTAGTTGTTATAAATTAATAGTGCTGCTTAGGATCTTTATAAATAGCTTTTGTTGCTGCTGCTTAGGTTCTCTGAAAAGCTATATAAAGCAGCTAAAGCTGAAAAATGTCTTTAGCCTTTGGGAAAACAAAAACAGTTTCTTCCAAAAATGGTTTCAGTTTGGCACACTTTCCTTGAAATAAGTTTAATTGAAGGTATTACAACTACTGAATATATATGCGTAATTTCTACTGCTGCTTTAAGATGATGTGTAAATATGGTACTTAAAAATGGTACTTTTGGTTGAATATGACCTTTGTTTAGTTATCGGGAACAGTTAGAAATGGAATGTAAAGCCCCATGCATCCTTATGAAACTTTCACCTGCAAACAGGTGATGTATTATTTGAGTAAACAGAAATGAGTTGTATAGCATCTGAACCAGTTCTTGTTCTAAGTTGTCTTCTTGTTATTTGTCTGTTTTTGCAGAAAATGATTATACCCTTATGGAGGTACTTGTATAGAAATATCTTTCGGTTTTGGATAAAATGGATCCTAAGACAGCTGACTGGAAAATGTGAACTGCAGCGCATCTGTGATGGCTCAAGAAGAAATGCAGAAAGAACATTTAAAATAGGTATTAATATATTTGAAAAATGAAAGCTTTTATACACAGACTTTATGTTTAAATCTCTAAAGTTAGTTTGTCAATCACAGATCAAGAACCAAATGAAAATGAATTGCATATTCCATAAATATTTGTCAGAATTGTAAATATTTATATTTAATAATTTTCATTTTAAGTCTCTAGAGACAGCTGACATAGTACAACAGTATCATGAGTAACCTCCCTCACAGCATTAACTCTTGTCACCCTATGAGTTCTAGTATTAGTAGTTTAAAATTGCAAGGACTCCAATTGCATCTTCAACCATCTTTGTTTAGCTTAAGCTGCGCTAACATAAAGCCCACCTCAGAAGTTTTGCTGATGCAGTGTATTGGATAAAATCTGCTAGTCTTCTGATTTTGCTGCTATGGAATTCAAAACTGGAGAACTGTATAGCAAAATATTTAGCCAGTTGTTTCAAGTTAATACAATGATTACTCATTTGCAATATTTATGACATGTGTCCTTGTTCAGCCAATGTTATGCCTTGTTCCATCTCCAGACTATGCTTTTCACCTCTTCTAAATTCTTCTGCACCTCCAACTGTTTTTTTTTTTTGCTAGTCTTTCTGTGTGCTCTCTCCTTGTTCTCTGTCTCTGGCCTTTGTAGGCTCCTGATTTTTCTACCTTTTTCTAAGTCTTATTGTGTTTGTTTCCTTGGGGATCTTGCCTTGCTTTCTTTCTCCCTTGAGGATGAACAGCTGAGCTGTTCTTCTTTCTTCTTATTCTCTGATATTAGCAAGGTTGGTTAGCTACTGTAGCAGTCTTTGTCACTGCCATAATATAATTCCCTAGTATGTTACAGTGTAGGCACATGAATCTCTTGATTGTTAACTTGTTACAATATTAAAATTGTTGGAATTTTCATATTTAGTATAAAGACTCACAAACTTAATATATACTCAAAACTTTTGATGTCGATATGTGATGGTTTTGTTTTACCCAATACAATACAATTGTATGACTTTAAATTAGCGTGAGGATAGTGTGGGTCTAATAATAATAATAATAATAATAATAATAATAATAATAATAATAATAATTCACTTGTTACCTGCCTCTCCTAACAGCTCAAGGCGGGCTACAACACAGTCAAAACATACCAGCATATTGTCTGTCTATCTATCTCAAAACAGAGGGTGTAAAGATCAATATAACAGCGGCATAGAATGCAGATCCAAAACTCATGATTCAGAGTTGACTAGGTAGGCCTGCTGGAGGAGATGGGTCTTCAGTTGTGTCTTAGGGCCCTTCCACACAGCCATATAACCCAGAATATCTGCTTTGAACTGGGTTATCTGAGTCCACACTGCCATATATTCCAGTTCAAAGCAAATAATGTGGGATTTTATTTAGCTGTGTGGAAGGGGCCCTAAATTCTGACAGCTCATTTAACTGTCAGAGTTCTTTCAACAGATCATTCCACAATCTTGATGTAGCCGATGAAAAGGTCCTAAAGTTGCCAGTCGGGTTTTGTCTGCTTGGAGCAAGTGACCCCCAGAGGACCTTAGGGTCAGAAGGGGGTGGATTTTGCAGGAAAAGGCGATCCTGTAGGTAACCTGGACCTAAACCATACGGGCCTTTAAAGATTATAATCAATACTTTGTCCTTTGCCCAGAAACTAACCGGCAACCAGTGGTGTTTGATTTAGTAGAGGTGTGATATGCTCACTTCTAGATGATCCTGTAACCAATCATGTTTTGAACTAATTGGAATTTCTGAACTTGGTACAGAGGTAACCCAGTGTACATCTCATTGTATAAATCCAACCTTGAGGTTACTAGTGGGTGCACTACCATCTTTAGGTGCTTAGATTCTAGGAAGAGATGCACCTGATGTATCAGGTGAAGCTAATTGTTGACCTGGTTGACATTTGGAGAAACAGATCCAGGAGCACCCCCAAGCTGTGAACACAGTCTTTCAAGGAGAGTAGAACTCCATCCAGAACTGGTTGAAACACTTCCATCCCCTGGTTAGAAAACTTGACATCAAGTACCTCTGTCATATGTAGTATTTTGCGCCCCCAAAGCTCTCAGGCCTCAGGAAGTCTCCCCCCTAAAATGGTTACAAACTACACAGAAATGTCCTGGTTACATTTGCACATTAACACTCTTAAAATTAAAAAAAAAGTCTGAGCAGCAGAAAACCAAGGAGAATAGTGGCTGAAAATGATGTTACATTTTGGTGTGCCCATGAAATGATGGCATCAGCTGTAGCAGGTATGGGGAGATTGATTGGCCCCTGTTCATTGCTTTGTTGCCTACCCCTGACTTCAATCAAATACAGAATAGGGTTTTCATGGCTCTTTCTATAATGGAAATGGCATTAAACACTACTCTAGAAAAGATTTCATTTCTTACAACTTGAAATGTCAATAATGAATGTTTTAACATTTCTTGATTCTTTGAACATTTTTAATGTAGCATGAGTTTTTAAGCCTTTGTCCTATTTATTTAATTTATATGCTACCCTTCTCCAAATATAGGACCCAAAGTGGTATTTATTTATTTATTTCTGGTATTTGTACCACAATACTTCTCTACCCCCAGAGGGGGACTCAGTACGGCTTACAATGGGCACCAATATGATGCCACTACATAACATATTTATTCTATCTTAACTGAATAATTATTTGTAATATATATATATATATATATATATATATATATATATATATATATATATATATAATATGTACAAGTCAAAGGCAGGTTTTGGGGCCAATATTATTGATTTTGATATGATCTGTGGATACGTTGAGGGTCGTTTCACTGAGATGGGAAAGTACAAATGCTGGCTCAGGAAGTGAGCCACCCCTGACTGCTACCATCATTTCCCCGCACAGGCATTCAAAAAGACATGGCAGAGAGAGTAGAGAATGTTGGTGCTTTTTTAAGGTTTTCCTAGGAAGGACTAATCTCTTGCCTTTTGCCACTCTACTCAGAGGGATGGGTCCATAGGAGTTACAGTACTCACATTAAACCATAGATAAGTTTGCCCCAGTTTTAAAATTATTTTTGACTAAAATGTTTAAACTTATGTATGAGTAGATAGAGTAAATGTTTATGCTTTTTGAATTATTTTAGTAATTCATATGTATTTGTCTTTTTATAGAACAATCGCTGGAAGCATCAAAGTTTAAGGTAGGCTAACATTAGTATTGTTCCCAGAATCTAAAGATAAGACCAAGGGCCTGTGTTTATCAAGTAGAATTTTGACTACTCCTTACCTACTGACCTCTGAAAATGCCTCTGGTATCTCGGATGACTTTTGAAATTCACAATTATTGCACTCTCAGTTTGCTATATCCATGTGTGTGTGTGTGTGTGTTTGGATGACCACTAAGAAAATTGGATGTCCAAAGCCCATCATTTTTTCCCATCATTTTTCACAAAGGAGAAATTGATTTTCTAAAAACCAGATTGCTATAAAATGGGTCAGCACAATTTAAAGCAAATTAGAAATGCCATTTTTCTTCAAACCTATTGTGTTATAGATGCAAATATGTTCTAGTTAGCTGATGAAAATGCTCTTGATCAAAATATTGATCAATTTGTATTTAACTGGTAACAGTTTTTATTTAATATTTAAAATATATATATATATATACACACACACACACACACACACACACACACACTAAAGTTCACTGAAGCTTTAAATAGTGGCTATTATGAGTAAACAACATGCATAGTGAGAAGACGTCTTTTTTTTTTGTTTGTGATTTTCAGACTTTGCAAAATGCTTTGAATGTTACTGAAGATGAAGTAGAAAAATGTGTTACCCATATAATAGAAGAAAAGAAGATTAACATACAGAAAGATCCAGGGTACATTTGCTACTCTTTCTGATTTTTTTTTTAAAAAACTGTTATTTTCTCAGTTTGTCTGATAAATCAGTCATTAAATGCTGAGGAAAGTCCTGCATGGAATATATATTGTGTTATTCATGCATAATAAAGTGGTGTCTGAGGCACATGGATTAAGGTATGTTCATATAAGAATGGCATAACTACAATGTCATCTAAGCAGAATATAGTTTCATTGAAATCTAAGGCAGATAGCATTCTGTGTTCTAGGAGCTTGCAAACCCTAATCCCTATACAGGGTTCACCAACATTCACAAAGAGTTTATATAATGTAGATGATGCTGTGGTATTGGATGCCATTTATGAGATTTGTTTTTTCACGCATAATGTAATTTTATTTCCTACGTATATTGTATGTGATGCTATGCTGTTGTGAAGGAGATATTAAATATTGAAACCCCTTTTTGACTTTTGACCCACCAAGTGGAAGTTGATGGCTCTTCTGGCTTGTGATTAGAGATAGCCAGTGTTTCCTTTCCACTGTAGCTGCTCTCAGGTGATGTTTGCAGAGACTGGGTGAGCTCTGACTTTGTCATTCAGACAGTGCTTGCAAGTAGCCAGTCGAGAGTGCCACTCTCAGCTGTCACTTCACTTCTTAGGCAGGAGGGGAAAGAATGAAATCATTTGTCATGAGAAGAGTACCACACTTAGATACATTATTAGACTTGTCAAAAACGATGGAATAATTTTGCGCATATCACACTTGTGTAAAGCCATTTTCCTTTGATTTATGACACATAATATTCTGAATTAGAGAGTACTTTTAGAACTAGTGTTATTTTCTGTACATAATCTGATGGTTGACACAGTGTGAGGCAACTTTGGATAACCAAAACATTAAATCAACAACAAGGATGTATATAAATTGCAATAATAATAATAATAATAATAATAACAACAACAACAACTACTGCTACTACTACTACTACTACTACTTTATTTTTATACTTCTCCACCATCTCCCCAAGGGACTCAGGGCGTCTTACAAGGGGGGCAAGCCCACATTACAGATAAAAACACCATTAAAATCAATCAAATCAAAAACATAATCAAAAACAACATCTTAAAACAATAAGGCTGAGATAACAGTCAAAGCTGGGATCAGGCTCAATTTAAGTACAATGCTTAAGAAGTCTCAAATCCAGTGGTTTGAGGAGAGTCAAGGCTTTGCTTCTATTCCTTTCACAAATAGTGCATAAGGGGTTTATGGAGGAGGTGGAGAAGATCTGCCACATGGAAAGAATGTATTTACGGTTTTTATTATTGAAGGCACTTGTGTCCTCTCCTTTCCCCATCCATGTGAAGCAAAGCTGCGATTTACCTATCCTCCAGTAATGTATTTTAGTATTTTGATGTATTTTAACTATGTTGTGTCCCACCTCGAGCCGTAAGGGGAGGCGGATAGTAAATATGTATTATTATAATTATTATGAATGTGGAATTAGTTTCCCTCCTCGAGAGCTGAGACACAAGACAGGCTTCCTCATCTTTATTCCATTCTGTTGGTGGTGTTGGCAATTTAAGGTGAGATGGTTCCTTTAATTTGGGAAGTAGACCATGAGTAGAAGTTGATTTTGAAGAGTAGTACACATTTGAAAAGCACCAATGCATACTACTTGAATAATTGTGAAAAGACCAATCTTTTAAGACTTATTCATGTGAGAAAGCTAAGAGGTACTCACTCTGTAGCTTAGCTTGTTTCTTCAAACTCTGAGACTTAAAGACTTATAATGATGGTGAATGTAGGCAACAGCTTTGGAGTTGAGCTGAAGTCTGAGCAAGTTAAGCACAAGAGATGAGAATCTAGAGTGTGGAAAGAGATGCCTTGTTGTAGATATTTAAATCCTAATTAACGTGACCATTTATTTTAATCTGTATTTAGTGCCTTATGTATGGTATAGTAATATCATTTGGATTTTAAAAATGAGGGATTTTACTGTATGTTGAAACAATTCAGGTAATATATTCTTTTCATTGTCTGCACGTTGGTACTTCGATTCTTCTGACATTTCAGACTCTGCTAACTAATTATATGGTACCTTTTAAAAAAAATGAATAGAGAAAGAAATGCCCTGGTCTTTGTGTTTTCCATTTATTCCAGGTTTCCCTCAAAGCTACAGATATGTTTGCTCCAGATATCTGGTTGCAGAAGACTATATTTGGCTGTAGAAGAACTGAGAAAAGAGCCATATAATTCAGACAATAAAGAACACGAGGAACATCTGCTGGAGGTGAAAGAAATTGTCTGGTTTTAAGTTCTTTATAATCTATTTAACAGATCTGAATTAATAACTGTAAAAACAAATGTGTTCATTTAGATAATGATGTATATATACCTCTGTTGTTACCCAGGCTGATGCAAGAAAGTTCATAATCTTTTTTCAGCAAAGCAAATTTATAGTTATGAACAGCATTGAAGAGGGTTGAGACTTTTCCTTATAAGATTACTAACACACCAGATTACTTAATGAAATTGATTTAGCATTAAGTCCAGAACAAGCAAAAGGAAGTACTTCACATAACATAATTAATTTATGGAATTCAGGAGGTAAGGGAAGGGCTATTGGTTTAAATGGTTTTAAAAAGGATTTCTCTCTTTGCTGCTCAAGCTAGTTAAAATTATAGTCCCTCTGTTTGGTGGTAATGTTTGTCTGATTCTTGGGGACATCAGCAAAGAGTTATTTCTTTCAGAAGTATTTGGCTGACTGTAAAAAGTTGGAAAATACATTTTGATCAAATTCAGCTCTCATTATGCTCTGTAAGCAAGTTGGAATTATACATTTTTATGGGGAGTTTAAAAAGCACATGTAAGTTCATGACTTGGTTAATATTTAGCAGTCAGTTCGGTGCTTGTGGACTATAAGTGCTCTGATTTCCTCATTTCAGTAGGGAAAGAGAAATTTGAGTACATGCAACCCTGTCCTGTCTTCTAAAATGAGTAGGGAGTCTGGTGGGCAGGGGAACTGCATTCCTAGAATACATTTTCTGATTGGTATGCCTGATCTAAATTTCTTTAATTTGACATGCCAAATGGAAAAGGCGCCACTTATTAATGTATTTTTATAACTTTTTCACAGTACGCATATACAATTTTAGCATATGCATTTTTTAAAGTATGGTGTTGTGATTGCAGCCTTGTTTAATTAGCAGTAATGTGATTGGGGGAAATATTGATAATTCTATTAATGGAAGCATATTTATACAGCTTTGGAGTTTATTGATGCCCCATGAAAAACTAAAGGCTAGAATCTCGAAGCAGTGGTGTGACATTGGTTTCCAAGGTGATGACCCCAAAACAGACTTCAGAGGAATGGGCATGCTGGGATTAACTAATCTTCTGTAAGTCAAAATACTTTCCCATGAATTCAAATTAAATGTTTTGCTAACTAGTATAAGTGGGTACTGGGAAGAAAACTGAGCCTCTTAGTATAGTCTAAGTGTTCAAAATCTAATGTGTGACTAATTATTTCAAGAGCTCTTATACTGCTGTTCATGACATGCTTAATCGATTAAATACACCATTGAGCAGTTGATTAGACGATGCAACAGTTGTGTTATTTATTTATTTACTTTATTTGTATACCGCTGTTCTCAGCCCTTAGGCGACTCACAGCGGTTAACAACAAGAACAGCAAAAATTCAATGCTATCAACACACGGTATAAAAAACAGTTAACATCATAACGTATTATAGAAAAGTATACAATTAACAACAATATACAATTAACACCAATAGCCATTCACTAGCGTCTCATCACTAAAAACATTAAAAATTATGAATGTGTTATGAATGCTCTGAAACACCAGCAGTGTGGATCAAGTAATATTTTGCAAACTGAAGCCATTTTTTTGTTTATCCATGCTTTCAGATATTTTAGTAAACACTACCCACGTGAAGCACGTCAAATCCTTGTTCGTTCAAATAATCCAAAATTGGGGTAAGATAATTTTTAATAAAGCTCTTGTCATGATTAATTCTTAAAGCTGAAAATCTTCTTTAGTTCTAAATAAATACTTTCAAATGACAGTTACCCTCTGTGAGACTGAACCAGTGTATTCTAGAGATACGAAATGTGGAAATAGTTCTTTGTGTGCTAGCCTTATTTATTTTACTTTACTTCCCTCCCTCTCCAGCTGCCAGTTCTACATTTCTCTTCTTATATCAGCCTTTCTTAGCCTGACTCTTGGTTGGGACATTGGGAATAATAACAGAAACAATAACAACAACAATAAATATGCATTATTTGTTACCACCCCTCATAACAGCTCGTGGTAGGGCACAACACATATCCATATACCCTCTTTTAGCAAGAATGTTCTTCAAGCAGTAAACACATTCAAAACCAAAACTTAAACTAAAAAGCACAGACAAGCCTTTAAGATGGAATGCCAGACACTATGAAGCTGGTAACCTAACATAGTATCTATATATATAAATCTGTTAGGTTGGTTCAACGGGACAGCAAAACTCAAAAACCCCCAACGAAACTTAACCAAAATTCCCATGCCCATAACACAACCCACAAGGTACAAACATATCTACTCAAAATGAAAAACAACACAACAACACACTCACAAAACGGCAAAACAAAAACTCAAAAAACCCCCAACGAAACTTAACCAAAATTCCCATGCCCATAACACAACCCACAAGGTACAAACATATCTACTCAAAATGAAAAACAACACAACAACACACTCACAAAACGGCAAAACAACTGAGCATGCGCATTGGCGCCCAGCCTGGCGCGCACCCTGGCGCGCACACAGCCTTCCAGCCGACGTTCCCTCTACGGAAGCCATGCCCACTCCAAGCCCCACCGCGCCGCTTCCCGCATGCACACACCCCCTGCCGCACGCACACACACAACCCCACGCTCCATCACTCCCCCCGCCGCCGCACACACACACGCAACCCCACGCTCCATCACTCCCCCGCCGCCGCACACACACACGCAACCACACTCCACCTCCCCCCGCCGCCGCACACACGCAACCCCACGCTCCATCACTCCCCCCGCTGCCGCCGCACACACACCGCAACCCAGCTCCATCACTCCCCCCCGCCGCACACACACACGCAAACCCCAACTCCCCCACCGCCGCACACACACACGCAACCCCATGCTCCATCACTCCCCCCATCGCCGCACACACATACACAACCCCATGCTCCATCACTCACTTATTATGCTATTATTCCTATTAGGCCCTGGGGGAATGGGAGAGGTGTCAGGTCCCAGAGGCAATGCATTGCATTATTGTTATTGTTATGATGGTGGTGAAATAAAAGGAAATAAAAAGAGAAAGAAGGAAGCAAACAAGGAAGGGAAGAAAGGCAAAGGAAGAAAGGGGGAGGGAATGAAGGAAAGAGAGAAGGATGAAACCAAGTAGTGAAAGAAGGAAAGAAAGAAAGAGGTAGAGAAGGAAGAAAGGAGAGAAAAGGGGAGAAAAAGGGGGAAGGAATAGGTAGGTACCTCTCTTTCATAATAGACCAGATATCTACCTCTACTTTGAAAAGGTTTTACTATAGGCCACAGCAACGCGTGGCAGGGTACAGCTAGTATTATATAGAATAAGTGGCTACATCACTATAACAAAGGGAGTAATACGTGTTGTTGAAGGCTTTCATGTCCTGAATCACTGGGTTGCTGTGAGTTTTCTGGACTGTATGGCCATGTTCCAGAAGCATTCTCTCCTGACGTTTTGCCCACATCTATGGCAGGCACCCTCAGACATTGTGCGGTTTCTTGGAAACAAAGTAAATGGAATGTCCAGAGTGGAAGAAAGAACTCTTGTCTGTTTGAGTCAAGTGTGAAATTTGCAATTGATCACCTTGATTAGCATTGAAAAGCCATGCAGCTTCAAGGCTTGGCTGCTTCCTGCCTGGGGGAATCTTTTGTTGGGTGATTAGTTGGCCTTGATTGTTTCTTGTCTGGAGTTCCTCCATTTTTGAGTGTTGATCTTTCTTTACTGGCCTGATTTTAGAGGTTTTTTTTAAAATACTGGTAGCCAGATTTTGTTCATGTTTATGGTTTCCTCCTTTCTGTGGAAATTGTCCACATGCTTGTGGATTTCAATGGTTTCTCTGTGTAGTCTGACACATGGTAGTTGTTAGAGTGGTCCAGCATTTCTGTGGAATTAGCATATTATTTGAGAACATGGCCATACAGCCCAGAAAACTCACAGCAACCCAAAAGGAATAATGCTATTTTAAATATACAGTACTTTGAAATTGCTAAAATCACTACTAAACTTTTGGATATTAAAAGTACTTAAATGCAGAAGTTAATTTGATGTGATCAGAATCTTTGTATGTTGCAGATATTCCTATGCAATAGTTGGGATCAACTTGACAGAGATGGCTTACAGTTTATTAAAGAATGGTTTATTAAAAATTCACTTCTACAATCTAGTTCCCGGTGTGCCACAACTGAAAGATTTCCATCAGGTTTACTGTGAGTATCTGTTGCTGTCCTTTCTAAGGATAGTGAACTTTTTTTGGGAGGAGGGGGAGGCTGTTTTCAGTTTCCGAACCTAGTTATAAGGAAATGCCTCTCTTTATTTAGAGTTAAAGTGTTAAAAGTGCGAAAAAGGTTTGCAACATTAGTTCTTACTGCAAAGATAGTTGCAATATACCATGAGCTTGTCAGTGCTGCCTCATGCTGAAGGCCTGAAGTGGAGTTTGATTATGTTTTCTGCAAACATAGATTTTTTTTCTATAGATGGTAGAATATCTGTGAGTTGATCCATATCATCAGGGTTTCTGACATATATACTAGTCTACAGAAGACATAGTTGACTTAGCCTAGGGAACAATGTAGGCGGTGCTGCTAAGAGGCAGAAGAGGGTGAATCTCTGGAAATGAAGAGACAGCATCAGTATCAATAATTTTGAGTTTTTGAGGGCCCAGGGAGGTCAGTTTTAGCCAGCATCCTGAAGAGGAACTTAGGATTCTTGATACAAGGTTTCTAGGGGAAAAAATCCTTGCTTTCTTAAGGGATGTGCTCCTTTTTGAAACATTATATACTTATTCTAGTGTTCCGGCCCAGCTTACCTGTCCGAAAGCATCTCCTTCTATGATTCACCTCAGAGATTAAGATCTTCTGGAGAGGCCCTGCTCTCGATCCCACCTCCTTCGCAAGTGCGGTTGGTGGGGACGAGAGACAGGGCCTTCTCAGTGGTGGCCTCTCGCTTATGGAACTCTTTTCTGAGCAAAATTAGATCAGCTCCCTCCCTCCTGACCTTCAGAAAACAAGTAAAAACATGACTATGGGACCAAGCTTTTGGACAGTGACTTGATGTGCAATAAGGAAATATGGAATAGTGCAAGGACAATTGAACAGCTTCAGATTACGATTTCGGATTATATGGTTTTAATTAGTTTGTTTTTGGTTTTAATGCCGAGTTGTTTTTAACTGGTTAGATTTAATGTGTTGTTTATTTTTATTGTATGTATGTTATGAAGCATTAAATTGTTGCCTTTTTGTAAGGCCCAGAGGGTTGAGAAGGGTGGGATATAAATATGGCAAATAAATAAATAGTGTGTTTTCTCAACAAATGCCTGGCTTTTGTTTTGGTCCTCACAGGTTATTTGGCTTACGAATTTGACAAATTTTGGTTTGAAGAAAAACCTGAAAGTATTATGTACTTCAATCAATATAGAGAGAAGTTCCATGACAAGGTTAAAAGATGTCTCCTGGATTATGATATAGTGCTTGCCTTAAAAAATGAAAAACAATAATATGCAGTCCTTTGGGTCCTGCTGATCAAAATTATGCACTTGACTGGAAATCTCATTTAACCAAAAACTTCATTCAGTAATCAAAGTTTTATACATTTTAAGAATTTAAAAATCAAAAGCTGAAAGAGCTGGGACAATCAATACTTAAGACTGTACACTGTTGACTAAAAGTCAGTTGTTTTTTATGTATGACGATCCTAATTGGATCAAAAAACCTCCCATGTTGTACTTCTGGAAGAAAGTAAAATCTGTTCACTATTGACTAACTATAGCTTGGTTTTCCAATTGTGACTCTTGTTTAGTTTGTGGCAATACTTGATGTTTTAAATTTGTCTTGTTAGGTTGTATGATTATTTTTTTCCAGCATGTTTCTGGGAGGAAAACACATAAAAAGACTTCTTTGTTTGGTTGTATGAGAACAATCTTCACTTGTGTTTATGTGAAATGATTCCATAACACTTCAGGTTAAGTGGATTTTTCTTGTGGATGTATGTAATCAGAGAATATGAGATTAAATATTCCATTTTAAACATGTTTTTTGTGTGCTACAGGAACGATTTTAAGCAAAAATATTTTTAGCCGATACTGTACTCTGTCACTATGCAATTGCTATCACATGTGATCATGTAATCGTTCTTGTGTCAGCTAATTCCAGCTAATGTGAAAGCCTGAGAATATTGAGCTCCAAATGTTTAATGGAAGATCATTAGTGGGCCAGTTTTCCTGGCATGTATTGAGAAAGGAAGGTAAGACTACGTATTACCAGACAATCTAGGCAATAGGATTTTACATCTATTGCAAATTTAATAAGCTTGTTTAAAATGTTTCTCAGCAAGCTTGGCTTGTGGCTAGCCTAGGATATGTTTTGCAAGGTGAGACGATCAGTTTAAAAATCCAGTCTTTTTTTAAAGTGCCTTTTACTTACAATAATATTTTCTGAGAAGGTTTAGAGCTTGGGACTGTCCCATTGATGGACAGCTTCTAGCACATACTGGGTGCTGTTCTAAAATTTCTTCTAAAACATGCTTTATTTTGTCAGGTTTTTTTTTGACTAAGTACATTTGTGGTGAGGAAGAATGAAAGAGAACAGAAATAAAATATCTATGGGGTAGTGGGAAACATGATTTTGTGTGACAATTTGGAGGCAGGAGGCTTAGCAATTACATGAATCATGGGCATGGGGTCCCTTATTTTAGTTGTGACTCTATTATGCACATGGGGGTATCTTAATTGTCTGTGATTCCCCCCCCCCTCCCAAAAAAAAAAAACCCTCCAGGCCTTCTCATTGGACTGAGTGGAAGCCTTTTTTTACATTGTGCACACCAGACACAATGGAAACAACCAGGGCCTTAGTGAGAAAAGATACAGAGTAAGCTCCCATAGAATAACCCAGGCATGGGCAAACTTTTTTGCCTTGGGGCTACATTGCGGGCCTGGCCAGGAGAGCCGGGCCAGGAAGGAGGAGGGCCAGGCGCACACTGTGGGGAGGGCCTGGGAGAGAACCGGCCTGGAAGGGGGGGGGGCAAGAAGAGGCAGGGCAGATACCAGGTTATCCTCAGAATGTCCTTCCAGCATAAGGACAGGGCTGCCCATCCCATCTTTATGCTGGGCGGAAGGCGGGACACACAGTGACTGCACCGATCCTCCTTCCCCAATCCTCAGGCTGTCCTCTTGGCATTATGCAGAGATGAGGGCAAGACAAGCTGTGGCTGAGAGTATTCCAGGGGGCTCTCAGCCACCATGTGCCTTCCTCGAGCCATCCTCCTGGCATAAGGATGGGGGTGCTCATAACGTCCTTACACTGAGAGGAAGGCGAGACACACGGTGGTTGAGAGCACTCCAGAAGGCTCTCAGCTGCTATGTGCCTTTCTCCCCCATTTTTTGCCATAAGGACACGGTGGGCCATTGTGTCCTTCTGCCAAGAGGACAGAGAAAATGAGGAGGGCCTGAGGTAAGAGCCCAGGGGCCCACATCTGGGCCATGGGCCTTAGTTTGCCCATGCCTGCCATAACCCCATCATCCCAACCCAGATTGGGAGCCCTGCCCTGTATTTTCATTTTATAATTGCTTCCTGTAATTGCTCAATGCATGGAAAATGCCAGATTTAGGTTACCTCTTTAAAATGTTTTTAACATTGAATATATCGCCTATGGTGAAATTATTGGCTATAACCTCTTGCATCCAATAATACTCATTATAGGCGCAGTTAAATACATAATAGAAGCAGCAAAACCGAAGATGTCTAATTTTTGTATGCCAGTATGGTTGTAATAAAACACTTATTAATATCCCTTCCTTGTACGGCAGGATAGACCGTATTGGAGTCTTAATACTTCATCACACTAGAGAATGAATCCACTTTAAATCCGGTTGCTGCCTCCTGCAGAATTCTGGGATTTGCAGTTTAGGGAGGAGCCTTTAACAGCCTCACTAAAGTACAAACCCCAGAATTCTGCAGGAGGCAGAAACTGGATTCATTCTCTAGTGGAATGCAAGTTATCAGAACTGATGTGAGGTGCTGCTTTTCAGTATATCCTTTTTAAAATATAGATTATTTTTTCTTTTTGTTGTTGTTGGTAAAATGCTCATGCAAAAATGAGTTGTACAAAATGTGGCGATGTAGAGATCATATGTCCACATGGATAAAATATTTCCTTTGGACTCTATATATTGAGAAGATCTGGTGCTTCTTGGTAGAGAAAACAGATGAACTTGTGTGACTGGTCATACATAAGCAGTGAATTTCTTATAGTCTCACAATGACATATTTTTTTCTGGATGAAATTGTTGTAGATATAAACACTAGACAGAATCCCATTAGGCAGTTATGGATCCATAACATACAGTTGTTGTTGTTCATTCGTTCGTTCAATCGTCTCCGACTCTTCGTGACCTCATGGACCAGCCCACGCCAGAGCTCCCTGTCGGCCGTTACCACCCCCAGCTCCCTCAAGGTCAGTCCAGTCACTTCAAGGATGCCATCCATCCATCTTGCCCTTGGTCGGCCCCTCTTCCTTTTGCCTTCCACTTTCCCCAGCATAATTGTCTTCTCTAGGCTTTCCTGTCTCCTCATGATGTGGCCAAATTACTTCAACTTTGTCTCTAGTATCCTTCCCTCCAATGAGCAGTCGGGCTTTATTTCCTGGAGGATGGACTGGTTGGATCTTCTCGCAGTCCAAGGCACTCTCAGAACTTTCCTCCAACACCACAGCTCAAAAGCATCGATCTTCCTTCGCTCAGCCTTCCCTAGGTCCAGCTCTCACATCCGTAGGTTACTACAGGGAATACCATGGCTTTGACTAGGCGGATCTTTGTTTCCAGTGTGATGTCTCTACTCTTCACTATTTTATCGAAGACTGGACATTGCTCTCCTCCCAAGAAGTAAGCGTCTTCTGATTTCCTGGTCACAGTCTGCATCTGCAGTAATCTTTGCACCTAGAAATACAAAATCTGTCATGGCCTCCACGTTTTCTCCCTCTATTTTCCAGTTGTCAATCATTCTTGTTGCCATAATCTTGGTTTTTTTACGTTTAGCTGCAACCCAGCTTTTGTTCTTTCTTCTTTCACCTTGATTAGAAGGCTCCTCAGCTCCTCCTCGCTTTCGGCCATCAGAGTGGTGTCATCTGCATATCTGAGGTTGTTAATGTTTCTTCCAGCATTTTCACCCCAGCTTTGCATTCATCCAGCCCCGCACATCGCATACAGTTAGACATCTACAATAACTGCTTCATATATTGACCTAAGCACCACTGTGTTAAAAGATTAATGTTCGATAATTAAATACACAAAGAACTAGTTAAAGCAGCAAACCACTGTGTAAATAACTACCTAGTCCAGATTATAGCATAATTTAATTTTATTAACAAAATATCTGCAAAAAACAAAGTTATAGATAATATATCAAGTTCTGACCGTGTCTGACATTCATACCTGGGAGTTTTTTGTAACAGAATTTCTAAAATTTTATAGTTGTAAAATATTTTGAAATCCTAATTGGAATAGTTTGTACCTTCTTTCTTGCGTATATTGTGTTGAGCAGTATTCCCTTGTTACAGATAGCTGTATAGGTCTATGTGACTATAGTAACTGGGTATTATAACACAAATTAATATATTGATCTTCACTTAGGCTTTACATTTGTACATTTGGAATATGAAGTGTTGAGCGGCATTTAATTCTCAGTAGGAATGTACAGGATTGCACCAATTGTTTTCATATGCATTACTGTGGTTCAGACATACTGATCCTCGATTGATGAAGCCATGATTTATTATGATAGGAATAAGGCATGTGCCCCTATGTCCTTCCTCTTTCCTGTTCACAAGCCCAATCGTTTTCCAAACCATTTTGCTAAGGCAGTCAAAATTTGCTCCACAAATGAGGATATGACTCTAATATAGAATGAACCCCTGAATTTCCTCATCTGAGTGTCATAAAATCTTGTTTAATGAAAAGGAAGCTTTAATAAAGTTGACCTCATGAGGTAGTGGTGTTGGAGGAGTAATATGTGTCTTGTTCCTGTTTTAATTATCTGAGATCTAGGATTATTATGTCTACACAAGAACAGTGTTTCATAAGCATAAGTATGTGGGCTTCCTGTGTCCATTTAAAAACTATTCATTCCAGGATTGTGTGGCCTGGGATCCACAAGCAATCTTGTGGAGATCCTATGCAGCCCTTGCCCTATTTTTCTTAAATCCAGCAAGAGAAAAAAAAATACTTTAGGACTGAAAAAGTTTTTGGAGGGCACAGTTTTGCATTTAAATTCTCTTTCAGCCTTATACTCCAAAGCAGAGAGGGAGAATATGAAAAGTGAGCAGACTCTCATATTTAATCACACAAAAACACTATAGTCATGGTGGTATAAAATTGACTGATGTCAATCAGAGATACCACTTTGACCCTCAGGACACGTCCACTCCTTTCTAAGATTTATAGAGAATTACTTTTTGTGATGTGAAAACATGAAAAGCTTAATGTTAGGTAATAATATTTTGTAATGTAAAGTAGGCAGGATATACTGTTAACAGAATATTGCATTGTGACAATCATATTAATTGTAATTAATCTACACATTTTCAACAGAAGATGTATTGAGTTCACCTTAGCATAAGAACTGTTAATAAGTCTTCTGTGCAGCTGGATATACGATCACATGGAGAAATAGTAATGTGAATGGGTGGATTAGAATAGAAGGGTACCTGGAAATCCCTGTAGCCATTTCAGTTGCCACTGTCGTTGCAAGGTGTAGGCCTGTAAGTACAGAAATGATTATGGCTGTCCCTGTGCGCTCCCATCAAATGAAAATTTCTCAAAATGGTTATGAACTTGTGGTGGTGGTGGTGGTGGTGTGTGTGTATGGGAAACCTCTTCAGTATTTTTACCTACATTTTTAAAGTGGAATTTGAAATAACGTCAGGCTATTTCCTGCTGTTGCTATTGATGCACCCAGATTATTTTTAAGTGTTTGGAAAGTAGAAATAAAAAATATGTGATCACAGATAATCTTTCTTCCTAAAGCAGGTTGCTTCCTTGGCAGCTATGAGCTAAATTCAATGTTGCTCTCAATTAGATTAGGTGTGGTGAGATCAATGGAAATTAAGTGGTGATTGACAAGTTCCATGCTTTCAAATCTGTTCACTCTACTTGTGACATGATCACAGTGGTAATAATGACAGACTTGACCACTAGTAGAAAAGTTCAGTATTCAGTACTGCTATTATTCTAGTCCTTACAATTCACAGTTGTATTAGTTTATGTCCTTGTTGCTAGCATGGGTTCACAGTTGGGTTTTTTATTGTAACTAATGCATGTCCCTTCTTTCCACTTGTGGGCAGTGGCTTGTAAACCTTTTTGGAGCAAGACCATTGGCTACTACTAAATGTGTTTGTTTATACAGTTACGAAAGCAATAAAATGTTATATGTTTTGGGGAATGGAGTGTGTGTTGACAAATAAAGATCACATTGAGCAGAAATTATTCTTCTGCTATTATATTACTCTGCCTGTTTCTCAATCTTACACTTACGTTTTCTAATTTGTTTGCTGTTTTATAACCTTTTTTTTGACCAGGGACCACTTTGACCAGAGACCACTCTCCAACATTAGTACCAAAGGGTTACGAATCGGATTTTGGTTGACTTTACATTTGGTTTGGTTATTTGGGGTGCTGATTCAGAAAACTGCATTGGACAGACCACTTCAGCTCTAGTTTCTGATACAGAACATATGCCATCTAGTAGTCACCATCTGCTTGCCGATAGAAACCCATATTTAGTAACCTGGAGCTGATGTGGTCTATTCAATGCTATTTTCTAAATCGGCACCCCAAATAAGCCCAGGAACAGGCCTAAAAATGAAGACACCAAGGCAACCCCGCTTCCAGGTGCCACATGAAACAGCTCTACTCGGGGAGGGAGGAGGAGGAGAAGCAGCAGTCAGGAGGCTTGTCGTGCCCTTCATGGGTAGTCGGCCTCTCCCCTCCTGATATCCTCATTGCCTCGGAACTATATCAGGGTTTTGTGAGACTCATTGCAGTGGTGTAACGATGAGACCATATTTTAGTTCTTGAGGACCACTGGTGGTCCACGGATCACAGGTGGGAAACCACTGATATAGACAAACATACTTTGCTATGACATTTGCTTATTTTTAGCCATAACTCTGCTCTTCTTTGAATATGCAAAAATGTAAGTCCCCTGCATCTCAGTAAATTCTAACAGGTTTCCTGAGATCTGTGCTACTATTGCCGGTAATGTTCTCCCAACCATCCAGCTGAGGAATTTCTAAGGTGCTAGAGAGGACAGTGACCAAGGATGATCCAGCCCTTACAGCGGCAAAGCCAGTCACTGCATCACTCTCTAGCAGTTTGAAATTCCTCTGTTTTGGGACTCCTCCATGACTTAAATGGTTGGTTTTTTTGGGTGTGTGCTTGAGGGGGGAGTGTTAGGATATAGAGCTGTAGAGATGCAACTACATAATTGTTGCTCCATCTCCCAATACAGGATCGCAGCTAAGTTTTTTACTCCCAAGTTGCAATGCTGAGACAAGATTCCAATTCCGTATTAATTAAGTAGGATCTATTATCTATGTAGCTCTACGTAGCTCTGGCTTTTGCCTAGGGCAATGGAGAGAAACTATAACATCATAGAACAATAGAAGTAGAAGAGATCACAAAGATCATCCAGTCCAACCCCCAACCATACTCCACCTCTTGATATATTTTTTTGTGACATAGAAAGCAATAGCAAGAAATATACTATGAAAAACAGGTACAACCTTCTGTCTGATACAGGTTTAATATCTTTTTAAAAAACAAAGAGCCTTGTTCACATTTACTTACTATGTTTAACCCATTTTACAGACAGTTAAATATCTGCAAAAAAGAAAGCAACAGCTTTGGCTTTAAAAAAAACCCTGGAGAAATTACATGATCATAAAATACAATATATATATTAAAAAACCCAGAAAATAATGGAATTTTTTTGAAGGCAGCAAATAAAGTTCAGGCATGTAAGAATGATTTGGATCAAATCTGAAAATTAAATAACAGCTAAACATTTTTTAAAAAAGACTGGGCCCAATTCTTTCCTATTGTGAGCACAGTGCCCATATTTAGAGGATTCCTTTAGGATCAACAGAGGTTTTTTTTTTCTAGCATTGCCTTCCTAAAAGACAGTGAGGGAGGGTGAATGCAGATCTCCGTGGGAATCCTTTGTGTGGGGGCATCTTGCACACACAACAGTATAGAATTGTACCAAATAACGGTTCAGAACAAGAAACAAGAATTCAAAGTGCAGGTGCTCCATTTGTCATTCAACATATCATCCAGTAAATTACATTATACATATTTAATCTAGAGTAAAGTGACAGTGTTTTCGTTCATTAAGACTTTCAAACATTCAGTTACATTTTCTTGCAGATTTTTTCCCCAGATTACATTCCAAATAATTACTGTATTATAAATGAAGATTTAGGCAATCCAGCTATTACTCTACAATACACAAGATTCATGGTAATGCTTGGTTTAAAATGTCAGTAACACAGAATTATCTATATTTTCAAAAACCCTCTGTAATTTTCAAAAGGGGTACTATGAATTGTTTAGGTCACAACATGGACAACTGTCAAGTCAAGTCTCTGGCAGTATCCCTGAAGAATATATTTTAAAAAGTATTATAAATCACTAGCCTTTAAAAAAATGATATATAAAGAGACATCCACCAGGGAGGCTGCTAAGAACTTGCTTTTGACTCCTAAACAAATTGACAGCATCATTTTCCATCTTCCCCCTTCTAAGCTTACAGATCACTTACAACAGTGGTTCTCAACCTGTGGGTTCCCAGATGTTTTGGCCTTCAACTTCCAGAAATGCTAACAGCTGGTACCAGACTGTGGTGCAGCTAGTTAGTAGCCAGCTGCATTAAATCACTACTGCTGAGAGGTCATGAGTTCAAAGCCAGGGTCAGAGTGAGCTCCTGACCATTAACAGTCTAACTTGCTGTTGACCTATGCAGCCCAAAAGACAGCTGCATCTGTGAAGTCAGAAATTTACGAACTGCTTTATGCGGGGAGGCTAATTTAATTTACGACACCATAAAACCTTCCAGCAGCGTGCATAAGAATAAGGAAGTACTCAAGTACTCAGTGCCACAAGTGGACAGTGAAGTGGCAACTCCCCCTGTGGCCGGAATCGAGCATACCCTCATGAAGCCGGAAAGCTGGAATGTTAAATTGCTTCTGTGTCTGTCTATTGTATGTCTAATGGCATTGAATGTTTACCATGTATATGTGCATTGTAATCTGCCCTGAATCTCCTGTGGGGTGAGAAGGGCAGAATACAAATACTGTAAATAAATAAATAATAAATAAACTAGCTGGGATTTCTGGGGGTTGTAGGCCAAAACACCTGGGGACCCACAGATTGAGATCCACTGACTTACAGGAATAGGGGTTCTGCTTTATGCATGATGCCCCCATTTCCCCATTCAGCCTTATGAGAAAGCAGCCCGTGTGTGAATAAAAGACATACTAATACACAGTGCTGACTCATCAAATGTGAATGAAGACCACATATTGCACCACACACACTATTTGAGCCATTTCGAGCCCTTCCAGTTCTCTACTCTCAAAATTTTAGGCCAGTTTGGAGAACATACACAAACATTGCTCAATGTGTCAAAAGTGAACAAATCGTTACAATGTATCCATGAATAGCAAGGCTAGGAATATACACACCACAGACAATTATCCCCCTCCCCTCCCTATGTATGTATATTGGCTAGGACAAGCATTCTGATAAAGCTATCAGACACAGAGAAAAACAGAATAATTCATAATTCAAAGTATGGATTTACATCCCAACATGTTCACACAAGCAAGAACTACCACGTTTTTAAAATTCCAGGATCTGTGCCAGGCAGTCATAAATATAAATACCTAAATGTTTTTTCTTGGACAAAAAGAACCACCTTATCACCTGGCCCTCTCAGCCTGACATTGCAGAGATTTCATAGTCACTTGCTGATATAATCGGTTTGCCCATCATCCGCACATTCTTAGCATTAGTAATCCTTGCCATCATACACACCGGCTTGTCAAAATACCGCACAAGGGCTGGTTCAGTCAAGAGGGAAGCCAAAAACTGCTCAAAGGTGATGGCCCAGTCTCTGTCAATGCTAGTACTTCTAGGCAGAGAAGCTGGGTTGTTGCTTCGTACCAAAACGGTGTCCTCGCCAATGTCTTCACAGTGCAGCTTGTCCTCCTCATGAGATCCTGCACTTAGGACGGAATAGGAAGACATGGAGCTGTCATCTTTAGTATCATCATCGGAAATCAGCATGGAAGAGCCAGTTCCATTATCCCTAGGGGAAGAATCTTCCAGCTTAATGTCTTCCATATGTGTACCATCACCACAAATATTCTCTTCCTCGTCAGCAAAGAAGGCATCTTGAAAAGGATCACGTTGTTCAAGGTGATACTGCTGGTTCCCCTTCTTTTGGAGCAAATTATTCTGAATGACATTACTGTTGTTTTCAGACTCTTTCATGGGCTGAGCATTAAATAACTTACCAACTTCACCAATTTCCAGAAGCAAACTTGTCACAGCAGCCGTAGCATGGTAAAGATCCTGTTCATTAGGGTCTTCACTGAACATATTATACATGGTCTTGCACAATTCAATAAACTGCCCCTTAAATGTAAAAGAAAAGAAAAGAAAAACAAGACTTTGGTGTTTACACAGGACTTGGACATGCATTCTGATAAAGCTATTGGACACAGAGAAAAATTGAATAATTCATAATTAAAAGTATGGATTTAACATTTGGAAACATTTGGAAAAAAAAATATCTGACAACGTATTGGAGCGAAGCCGGTTATTGGTTACAATGGAATACCTCCATAGGGTAGGCATTCTACTTTCGGCACACAAAAAAACACCTTCTGCAGACCTCAATCTTCAGACAGGTGTATATTTAGAGAGGCACTCCTTCATTTACTGTGGTCTCAAGCAATGTCATTGCCAGCACTTTGAATTCCAAAAGCATATAAGCATATAAGCAAAGAATGCATTTCTTTCAAAAATGGCATACTATGTCTGCATGGCACTCTGGTCAGAAATCGCAAGAGCAGCATCACATAGAGTGCATTATAATGATCTATTTGGAGGTTACCTGTGCATGAAGTACTGTGGCTATGTTGTCCCTGATCACGCTGCAACAGTGGAACAACTGAAGTTGAATTCCTAACATTCTTGGCCTGAATGACCAGAGGCAGAGATGGATCTAGGATTAGTCCTAAGCTATCCACCTACTTCTTTAGAGGAAGTGAAATTCCTTCCAGGCTGGAATGTTTGCCCAATTCCTAGACTCAAGAACCACACATCCACAGAGCCTCCATCCTACCAAGATCCATCATCAGTTTATTGGTTCTCATCTGGCCCAATAAAATATCTAAATAGTGGTCCTTTACTTACATAGTCCTATCTCTCTCTTTGCACACACACACACACAGTCAAAGCAACAAGAGAGGAGAGAAAGATTAAGTGCTGCTCTAATTCAAAGTGAGGTATTTAGAGAGCCAAGGGAATTCATTACATATATTCAAAAGTATTTCCATATGAAGGACACCATAAGTGAAATTTCAAGTTTACCCAGATAAAATTGTGCACATTGTCTTTATTTTATTTGGATATCTGCACTTAGAATTCTATTTTTGAAGTCGTAGGAATGAAAACTGATAATCCATTTTTTTCATATTTGCTTTAGCAGGATTCTGACAAGGACCATACAGCCTTAAACGAAAGGTGATTTTAATATTTAAATAATATTGAATAAATTGGTGAGGCACAAAAAGCTATTAGATAGACTCCATACATTTGATCAAATCGTCCTTGAGAGTTTATGCCAAATAAGGCCAGAATCTTGGTGGGACGATGTTAATACAAACATCATTGTGGAAATACTTGGATTTCTGAGATGTGTAAATGCAATTCCTCATGCAGCAAATCATTCTACAAGTAGGCAAACAGAGTGGGAAGAACAAGGGGCCGATCCACAAACTTCACAACAGATTTTACATAAAATGTTGCTGCATCTACGCACTACTGATCCAGCGGTTGGGCTGTTAGAATTTGCAGCATTAAGTAACAGGGGGAAGAAGAACCTTTTTCAGTTTGGTTGAAATATGACTAATAATTATAATAAAATGGATCCTGCCATCCATAATAATAATAATGATATTATTAATAATAATATTTTATTTATATCCTGCCACCTTCTCCCAAAGGGACTCGGGGCTGCTCACAAAAACACTCAAGGTATGACATGCAAAATACAACAAGTGCAAAACAAAACATACGAGTAGACAAACAATCAAATAAATTCATAGTACCCATTGGAAAAAAACAATAAAAGATAGCAATTGCCATAGATAAAACAGCAGTATTTGATCTCAGAAGTATAAAGTGCTAATAAAGGATCTAAAGACCCTCATAGATATTATTGGAGAGTCTAAACATGTTTAAAGGCTTGTTGGAAAAGCCAGGTCTTTAATTGTGTGTGGAAGGTTTGGATGGTGGGGCTAGCCTGATCTCCCTTGGGAAGGCATTCCAAAGCCGGGGGCCACCACCGAGAAATCCCTCTCTGTCATCCCCACCAACTGCACTGGAGGTGGGACCAAGACCCCTTGGTAGATTTTAGAGCCTGTGCTGGTTCATAGAAGGAAATGCGGTCTCAAAGATAGGCTGGACACCCACATCCAATATCAGATATATAGGAGGATTCAACAATCCATATAAAATTCGTGGTACTGGATATCTGTCTCTTGATTATGTAAGACCCAATACAGTAAGGAGCTTTATATGGATTCAAGGCAGTTTCTGCACATGAAGCATCCTTGGTCGATTAATATGTTACAGACTTATGAATTTTTAGTAACTCTCCCATTTTGCACTATCAAAAAATTCAAAACTTTTATGTATGTGCCAACTGAACTTACCTGATTTAGTTTGGGCAAGTCCTTGGCATTCTTTACTTTGGATTTATTCTCCTGGCTCCACATTCTAAGATAATTTCTATTATCTTGAGCATTCTTTTTACCTGCCATAATCAATCATCCAGAATTGAGTTAATTTTATTTTATTTGCAGTTCTTTTTTTAAAAACTTACATTTCCACACACCCCTCTTCAAATTAGTGAAGATGAACTGCCTACCTTTTTCAGTTTTCACACTCACATTAACAAATCCCTCATCTGTCCCATGTTTGTTTCTGCCATCTACGCCAACAACTAGTAATATTCAGAAAGAAAAGGATCAATGTATTTTGGAAGGGATGTGAAATTGCAGAATTAAATTACATTAGTCAGGACAAGCCTAGGGAAAACTGGTGTCAGCAAATCTTTCAAACACTTTTAAGTACTACTGAGCAGGGAAAGATAAGTGAAGAGCAAAGCCCTATAGAGTTCATTGTTGTAAGTGCTGGGGAAAATCCTAAAAGATTCTGAAAGACAACATAGCTGATCATTCAAGAAAAGTGTAAAAGCTGCAGCTTTCTGACTGCTAGCTAGAGGGAAAAATAGTTTATCTTTGTCATTGCCCCTGAAGATTCATAAGCAAGACTTCACCTTCTATCCAAATGCAAGAATTGATATACTCAATACTTCTTAGAGCCAATTGGACTTTTTTTTTTTTGTCGTGTCAGGAGCGACCTGAGAGACTGTAAGTCGCTTCTGGTGTGAGAAAATTGACCGTCTGCAAGGACGTTGCCCAGGGGACGCCCGGATGATTTGATGTTTTATCATCCTTGTGAGAGGCTTCTCTCATGTTCCCGCATGAGGAGCTAGAGCTGATAGAGGGAGCTCATCCACCTCTCCCCGGATTCGAATCTGCGACCTGTCGGTCTTCAGTCCTGCCGGCACAGGGGTTTAACCCATTGTGCCACCGGGGGCTCCGCCAATCGGGCTTACAGATAGATGTCTATATTCAGAACTAGTTCATGCCAATCGGGCTTAACATGAACTAGTTCTGAATACAGACATCTATCTGTTCAATTTAACTTGTCCCCTCCTCATAGTGAACCAATTGTTGGAAATAGCAACCTTCTCAAGCCTCCACTAGTTGTTTGTTATGTATATAATTGCTTAATGTATTGTATATGTGTGTTTTGGTATGCAATTTTACTTTAACCTGTTGTGGGAGAGGCTGCAGACCATGTGATTAGGTCTGGGCTTGTTCAGGGCTCAGACTCCATTTTGGAAACAGTTCAGTTAAGATGCCAGCAAGAACTGTATGCTTTAGACTTCACTAGGAACCGTATGCTTACAGACTAGACAGAGACTCTATTAGACTCTCAGAACAGAGAGATGCTTTGGATTATGGACTGTTGATTATGAGAAAGATGCCCTGTGTTACCTACACAGAGAAACTACTTCAAATCTACTTGTAACTGAATTGATAAGCAAAGTACCTATATGCGGAACACATGAAATTTGTGAGTAAACGAACTATGTTATGTTTACAGAAATCTGCTGATTTTTGTCTCTTGAGAGCATGATTTAAAGGCAAATATATTTTAAGGGAGAGTAGATGTTTTTGGGCAACTAAAAAGAACACTCTGCTCTCTCTCTGTGTGTATTATGGATGGATGTGTGTGTGTGTATAGGAGAGAGAGAGAGAGAATGAATGCTGAATGCCATTTCCTCAAAAGATTATGACTCTTAACAGGTCAAACTTTTAACAATATGTTATGGCATCATTTTTCAAAAGGTTGTGCCTTCTAACAAGGTCATGTCTTTCCAAAGATCATAAAATATCCAAAAAGGTTATGGATATTTCCATTTTCCAAAAGGCTATGTCCCCAGTGGTTTTCCAAAACCAATCTCTCCACCATAATTTGTATATGAAGTAGCATTTTGCTTATGAAAGAAGGAAGCTTATAAATCAGATTTAAAGTCCGGTACCATGTGTACAATCTGGTGTGATATCTTCAAAGAAGTATTGAGTTGCTTCAAAGGCAGAATCTGGCTCTTCTTGATCAGATGATGGGTCTGTGCAAAGAAATACCAAAGATCACCATACTCTGAAAAGATCCGTCCAACTGTTTCTACATACCAAAATATATCCCTATATGTAAATGACAGCATTTATAAAAAAAACAAAACCAATTTATTCCTGAATATAAATGTTTACTCTGGCTCCATAACTTCCCTGTTTTGACAGGGGAGACCTGCAGCAAAGATATAAGCATTCATGGATGAACACAGTTATAAAGTACTGCAGAATCAAGACTCTGATATGATGACATGATGTAAAGATAAATCCTACATGTTCCAAACATCTGAATAGGCAGCAAAAGCACCTAATATGAGAACACAGCGTTTATGCAACTCTGAATCTCTACAAAATATGCTGCTTACACAAATAAAAGTGAATTTATAGTTTCTGTTGACATGTAGGTTTCAGGCATTCTCTGACAGACATCATAAGTTATTTCCAACCTATGGTGATCCTAAAGTGTTCTTATCACAGGGCTTTCTTGGTGAGGTTTGTTCAGAAGAGGTTTGCCCTTGCCGTCTTCTTGAGGCTGAGAGAGTGTGAATTGCCCAAGGTGACCTAGTGAGCTTCCACGACTATGCAGCAGAGTCAGTCCACTCCTCAAACCACTACACTATGGTGGCTCCTTTGAAAAATACTATGATAGATTGAAGCTGACTCTCCACCAGGCTGAAGAGAAAAATTGTCACTGACACCACCACTACCACCACTTTTGAATTTCAGATTCCCATATTTTCTGCAATGAGGTGAAGATGTTATGCGGTCATCCATTTCTACCAAGGTCACCAATGAATTTTGTGGTTCAGTGAGACCTGAACTAGAATATCCTAAATTTCAGTCAAATACAGTAGAGTATCGCTTATCCAGCCTTCGCCCATCCAATGTTCTGTATTATCCAAGGTAGTCTGCCTCCCACCCAGATCCACAACTATTTCAATACATTGTGATGTTTTGGTGCTAAATTCGTAAATACAGTAATTACTCCATAACTTTACTATATATTGAACTGTTTTTCTGTCACTTTGCTGTATAACATGATGTTTTGGTGCTTAATATGTAAAATCATAATGTAATTTGACATTTAATAGGCTTTTCCATAATCCCTCCTTATTATCCAACATTTTTGCTTATCCAACGTTCTGCCGGCCCATTTATGTCGGATAAGTGAGACTCTACTGCACTCTAAATTGTTCATTTCTCAGCACAGTCTCAGTCTCAAGATATATTTCAGAGTGGACTCTGGTGTGCCTTTTTGATCCAGTCCTGAAGCACACATCTCTTTGATTTTATTAAAAGGAATATAGTTATGGGTTGTACTCCAATGTACACCAACTGCTTCAATTCACTACATTAGAACAGAAACCACACTAACAATTGAGGGAACAGAACTACACTAAATAGTCAATTAAGGCAGGAAGGTTGCGAAATACTAGTTGCTAAATGCTAGAGTTTAGATTGAGTAACCAATACCAGGATTGCCCTGGAAACAGTCTATAAAAGGATTCTGACATTCCTCAAATAGCCTACTGTTTACTCACCAGGCAAAACATGCATCCTATACAGCAGTTTCAGTTTCTCAGTAAGATCTCCATGGCATGCTGCACCTAAAACAAAGTATATCCATTTAATGAGAATTATTGAGCATAATTAACTCTAGAGAGTAAACACAATTTTCCTGATATTTGGAAATAATGCTACAAATGCCTTAAAATTTGATACGGTAAAGGTTTCCCCTTGTCATTAAATCTAGCCATGTCTGACTCTCGGAGGTGGTGCTCATCTCCATTTCTAAGCTGAAGAGCTGGCATTGTCCTTAAATGGCTCTTCTGTTAGCTGGAGCTAACAGCAGGAGCTTACCTCACTCCTCGGATTCAAACCGCTGACCTTTCGTGCAACAATTTCAGCAACTCGGTAGTCTAACCCATTGTGCCACCAGGGGCTTATTAGATATGGCATCTAATCAAATAAAGGGAAATCATACCCTTTTATTTATATCATTGAGATATATACAGTATAGGGGAAAAACCGGTAATCTATATTTTGCAGTTATTCTCAAATTAACAGACTCATATATTGCAAATTACCTCGCTAGATGGTCCCAAAAAGTTAGATACAGAACTATATTTTTCATTTATGATTATCTATATGCAAATTAATATATGTAAATTACTCTTTGTATGCTTTAAGCCCCTACCTTTACTTTTACATGACAATATAAACTACCAATTTTTAAAAGTTACTCATTCTTTGGTTTCAGAGGTGTTTATTCCCCCGTGAAACGGCTCTTATTAAAAGAAATCCTTCCTCGTGTTTATGTTTTTGGGTTTTGCGCCTGCTGATTTTGCTTGTTTTATCATAGTACTCCTAACAGTTAGGGAGCCATGGTGGTGCAATGGGTTAATCCCTTGTGTTAGCTAAACTGCTGACCTGAAGATCTGAAGGTCAACGGTTTGAATCCGCCAGACGGTGTAAGCTCCCATCTGTCATCTCCAGCTTCCCATGCAGGGACATGAGAGAAGCCTCCCAAGGATGGTAACACATCCAAGCATTCCTGGGCAACATTTTTGTAGATGGCTGATTTTCTCACACCAGAAGTACCTTATAGTATACTCTCAATTCTCTTCTGATACAATAAATAAACCCTAACAGTTGTATTTTGAATGAGGAATTATTCAAGAAAATGAAGGAAATCACATAAAAATGGCAGACCATTTTCCTATCTATTTGCATTTCACCATGTTTTTAAAAAGGATCTTTTACTTCAAACTACTAGATTGGAACCTAAAATCCATCTGAAGAAAGGGGCAGATTTCTTACTATGTTTTTCTGGCAGAAAGATGTTACAGATTCAATTTTGAGAATTTATGTGCACAGCATGTGCTTGACAATTGAGCTGGATATAACAACGGTGTGACTGAATTCTCATGGAGTTCCTAAATGGTATACAGAAGCAAAGGGGATGCGCTCAGGGTCTTGGAAACAGAGCCAGCAACATTCTCACATTGTCTTTGCCCCAAAATGCATCAAAATCATAATTCTGTTTTGATGTGTCTGTAATCTTACCTCTTAGCAACGCAGTATATACCTATCGGGCAAATACTCTGACCACATGAGGCTTAACACATGAATTGGATAAATTGGGCTTTTGTTGGGGAAGCCTCAAGAAAACATGCCATGAGCAAACTTTATTGGGACACACAATACGTCTTTTGAAACCGCTAACAACAAAATGTTTAGGCAAAATGTTTAGGCTGAAACCTTAATTCAAATGTTAGCTTTTGGAACGAGAAAATGTTGGCTTGCTTTTGTTATTTTGCTCCTTAACCTAAGTAAATCGGTATGAAACAATACACAATGAGCACACAATCAGATTATATCTCTTTTCATAATTATGCAAATAAAAATTGCTTTGGTTTGTTGCAACGGTATAATTGGGATCCCAGAAACAACTGCTGATCAAAACCAACACAAGAAAAAATATTGTACTATTTTTTTAGGAGCCCCTGGTGGCACAGTGTGTTAAACCGCTGAGCTGCTGAACTTGCTCCTGCTGTTAGCCCCTGCTTCTGCCAACCTATCAGTTTAAAAACATGCAAATGTGAATATGTCTTCGGTGGGAAGGTAATGGCTCTCCATGCAGTCATGCCAGACACGTGACTTTGGAGGGTTTTTTGAGAAACTGCAAATCGCTTCTCGTGTGAGAGAATTGGCCGTCTGCAAGGACGTTGCCCAGGGGACGCCCGGAAGATTTGATGTTTTTATTATCCTTGTGGGAGGCTTCTCTCATGTCTCTGCATGAGGAGCTGAAGCTGATAGAGGGAGCTAATCCACCTCTCCCTGGATTCGAACCTGCGACCTGTCAGTCTTCAGTCCTGCCAGCACAGGGGTTTAACCCACTGTGCCACCGGGGGCTCTACTTTGGAGGTGTCTATGGATAACGCCGACTCTTCGGCTTAGAAATTGAGATGAGCACCACCCCCAGAGTCGACTAAACATGACTAGACTTAATGTCAAGGTGAAACATTTACCTTTACTTTGCACACATATTTACTCCCAAAATGTGATTTTTAAAAACATTTTTCCTCTGAAATTGAAAATATTAACAGTATACAAATATCCGAATTACAAACGACTCACAGTTAAGAATGAGGGTGAGATAACAGGAACTCTGAAAGAAAATTCACTCTTGAAAGAGTTATCATGGGGAAAAGGTGCCTCCACTGAAACTTTATCACCAAACCTTGTTTCCATAACATGCCAAAATTTTCAATATCCAATTATCACAAGGAAAAGCCTTGTTTGTAACTTGGGGACTGTAACTTGTAGCTTGGGGTCAAAAAAATATTAACAGCCAAGTTATTACAACATGTAATAATCAAAATATGACAACAATAACACTATATTTCTATCAATTCACCCTACACTTTTTCCAGCCTTGGGGATGAAACATTATGTAGTGAGAAGCTATCTTCAATAAAACTTACAAAATGTGTGCTTTCATGTCAAAACAATGCTTTCAAAATTAATGGAGAAGGGAAACCGTCTTAGAAAAGCAGCTTAGTGGATGCATTCTCCTTACTAAGGCCAGAGACAAATTCCCGGAAGTTGATTAAGGAATCTCCATTTTCATCCAGCAATCTGAACAGGCGGGCGGCCAAAACATCTGAGTGAGTCCCACAGGCCCAAGGAAAGAGGAGAGCAAACATCCCCTTGAACTGCTCGAAGTCAATGCGGTATTGTTCTAAATAAGGCAAACTGGGGTCGTGGCGGTCAGTGGCGTTGCTGGTGCCCCCCCAATAGCAGCTAGTGAGATGCTCTGCCTAAAAAAAAAAATCAGAGACATGCTTAATTTTATAATACTATACTAGAAAGGAGAAAAGAACTTAGAAATGTTACCTAAAATGTATCAGCGTTAATGGTTGCTTTAGCATTTTACATCTTGTGTTGTTGATGGCTTTCATGGCTGGAATCACTGGGTTGCTGTGAGTTTTCTGGGCTGTATGGCCATGTTCCAGAAGCATTTTCTCCTGATGTTTCACCCACATCTATGGCAGGCATCCCCAGAGGTGTGCAGTTTGTTGGAAACCTCACTTGCCTAGTTTCCAACAGACTGCACACCTCTAAGGATGCCTGCCATAGATGCAGGCGAAACGTCAGAAGAGAATGCTTCTGAAACATGGCCATCCCACCCAAAAAACTCACAGCAACCCATTTTACATCTTACTTTTATGTATTTGTTTATTTATTATTTATTTACTTCATTTATAATTACTTCTATACCCTGAAGGGGATTTAGAGCAGTGTTACAAATTAGGCAGCAATTTGATTCCACAACGTAAACATACAATACAATAAACATTTACATTAAACCAAGCATTAAAACAATGCGATTTAAAACTACTTATTAAAATTACAGGTCTGGGGATCAATGTATAAATAATGTGCCACTATCATATAATTTTTAATTATTATGGCTGACATTCTTTATTGCAGTAATGGCTTCATAACTGCAATAAAGAATGTCAGCCGTAATATGGATCTCTGACTGCTCTGTGTTCAGTAAGACGATACAGACGTGCTCCCAGACTACATAAATGCTTCCTGAGCCCATCTTAACAGCCAACAGATGCATTGGACAAAAAAGGCCTGGTCAGCTGCTGATCAATGTGAAAGGAGGAGGATATTTCCAGTCCCTTCTCACTAGTGAGTGAGGTTTTGACAATGAGAAGCAGGACTCTTGCCACAATTCCTTTTCACAACCTCTCTCCCTGGCGGGAGGAGGCTGGAAACATGATCTTCCTTGTATTTCAGTTGGCTGCTGAACCTTCTCCTCAGTTGGCTGCTGGCTTTTTAGGTGGCCTTGGGGACACTGGCCAGGAGATATTGCTTAGTTTGCACCTGCGGAGGAGGTGGGACAGAGAGCAGGGCCTCCCAGAAGATCTCAGAGATTAAGATCTTCTGGAAAGGCTCTGCTCTCAGTTTCACCTCCTTCGCAAGTGCAGCTGGTGGGGATGAGACAGGGCCTTTTCAGTGGTGGCTCCTTGGCTGTGAAACTCCCTCCACACCAAAATCAGATCAGCTCCCTCTCTCCTGATTCAAAAAGAAACTAAAAACATGGTCATGGGACCAAGCCTTTGGACAGTAATGCAGTGCAATAAGTGAAGATGTATTATGTGCAATCACGATCAGAATGGCCTATGACTATGATTTCAGACAGTGTGGTTTTAATCATTGGTTTTAATGTTTATATGCTTTTCAATTTTTGTTTAAATGTATATGTTTATTTTATTACATGTCTGTTTTATGTGGCATTGAATTGCTGCCTTTCGTAAGGGTGCTCTGAGTCACTTTGGGTATAAATATTGTAACTAACTAACTAACTAACTAAATAGTTATGCTTATGTAAGGAAATAGTTTCTTTACATTTAGAATACTGATATACATTTTTTAAAATACTTTGGAAAAAAAAGATGGGAGGGAGGGAAAATGCCCCCAAATTTGCATCCGAAATATCTGTAACTATACAAAAATGTTTGGGAAATAATAAGTAAACATTACCCACCCCTAACACTAAAGCGTTAGTATAAACATTGAACATTAGTGATAATATTAAACTGAAAAAATGCTGCTACCTGCCAAAAACCTAAGCCTTATGAGTAATCTTGTTATTTTGAAAACATTATTTCCCAGCTCATTTAGTGAGACCAGTGTATCTGCTTCCTGTGTGCTCCCTCTTCCCCACTTAACCCACCAATTACAGTAACGATAATTATTTCCATTGTGATCACTGAGAGATGAAACAAGCATTCACTTCCAGCACCCCAGTGAGCCCTAGCAGGCTGGCGAAAGGAAATTTAAATGGCTCAGTCTGTGCAGGATGCTTAGGATGATTTTACACAAAATAAATATCTTAGTGGTAGCTGGGAATATTATTTTATCAGTTATTATTATTGAAAGAGAAGCTTCCTGTTACACATTCAAATACTACTCTTAGTTTAATATGGAATGCTAAAATCTCACATAATGACCATCAAATTTTTGTTTGAAGATTTCTTTGCATGAACTCAAACAGGAATTATAATTGGGTTGTTGTGTGTTTTCCGGGCTGTATGGTCATGTTTCAGAAGCATTTTCTCCTGATGTTTCACCCACATCTATAGCAGCATCTTCAGCGGTTGTCAGGTCTGTTGGAAACTAGGAAAATGGGGTTTATAGATCTGTGGAACGTCCAGGGTGAGAGAAAGAACTCTTGTCTGTTTGAGGTAGGTATCAATGTAGCAATTGGCCACCCTGATTAGCATTTAATTGTCTAGCAGTTTTCAAGGTGTGGCTTCTTACTGCCTGAGGGGAATCCTTTGTTGGGCGGTGATTCGTTGGCCCTGATTGTTTCTTGCCATCTTCTTAAAGCTGCTTATGACAGCTTCAGTTAAAAAGTTAGGAGCAACAATATAGGAAGATACAGACATCAGCCTACTTCATACTACTAAATAATGTATGATCGAGACAGCTATTTCAACCTTACCTTGAAAAGGGCATAAAGTTCCTCCAGCTCATCTATTGTAAAAGAGGTTTCAGTCACTATGGTTCGTACCTTTCAAAGTAGAAGCACAGAAAGAGTTTAGGTACATAGAAGCTATTTGATCTTCCAAACTGAAAAGATATTTAATCAGAAAGGCACTCCAAAAACCTACCACATTACGTTTGGTAGTGTCTTCAAGTGTCTGGATTACCTTCAACCTCTGTTTGAACCTCATTTGCTCAATCAGATCTGCTCGGATACCTCCAAATTTCTAAAGAGAAAGACTTTGCTTTAAAACCTAAATACTATGTAGATTTTCATTTCATTTAATCTTTACTCTTGAGCTCTGCAAGTGCAACATTTTTCCGAATTAAGCAGAGAGTGTTTTGAGGACCGGGACATCCATAGAAATACCTAGGTGCTTGTTTATAAAGCTACTGTTCTGCCAATGTTGTTATTTGCCTGCGAAACGTGGACTGTCTACAGACGTCATACTGAACTCCTGGAATGATTCCATTAGTGTTGCCTCCAAAAAATCCTGCAAGTCTCTTAGGAAGACAGTCGGACAAATGTCAGTGTGCTGGAAGAAGCAAAGACCACCAGCACTGAAGCGATGCTCCTACGCCATCAACTCCCCTGGATTTGCTACGTTGTCCGAATGTCTGATCACCATCTCCCAAAGCAGTTACTATATTCCCAACTCAAGAACGAGAAACATAATGTTGGTGGACAGGAAAAGTGATTTAAAGATGGCCTTTAAAATTGTGGCATAGACACCGAGAACTGGGAAGCCCTAGACCAGTGGTTCTCAACCTGTGGGTCCCCAGACGTTTTGGCCTTCAACTCCCAGAAATCCTAACAGCTGGTAAACTGGCTGGGATTTCTGGGAGTTTTAGGCTAAAACCTGGGGAGCCACAGGTTGAGAACCACTGTCCTAGACCTTGAGCGCTCTAACTGGAGGTCAGCTGTGACCAGCAGTGCTGTGATATTCAAAGAGGCACAAATGGAGCACAAAAGAGAGAAACGTGCCAAGAGGAAGGCATGTCAAGCCAACCCTGACCGGGACTGCCTTCCACCTTGAAACTGATATCCTCACTGCAGAAGGACATGCAGGTCTAGAAGAGGTCTCCACAGCCACCTACGGACCCACCACCAAGACACTCCACTTGGGAGGACCATCATCCTTGGGCTATGAAGGATCGTCTAAGTAAAGTACTCTTCATACTGGTTCAGAGCGAGGTGCAATGTCAAACTAACAATATACTGTAAGCCATTTCCCTCTTCATATAGTTGACAAAATTAATTTTCTTTAAACTGTCCACTACCAGAAGAAAATTGTGCACATAAATGGAAGTCATTTGTTATTGCCTTCTCTCCCTTGTGCTTCAGGGGGTTTTTTAAACCACTATCTTTGTCACAATACCTCATAAGAAGTTCTGATGAGCCTGAAGATATCCACTTCAGGATGTGGCCCTACATCATCACTGAGTAGTGAGTGAAGGTGTGGAATTGGCGGTAAAGTGCTGTCTTTATTGGTCACACTGTCCAAATACCTATCAACAGCAAGAGAAATCAAATAGCAAACTTGAGAAACCCCTGAACATGTAAACTTAATTCAAGTATAGTACTAATGGATATTCCATTACCTCCCATTCCCCAAGTTTATATAATAGACACACATACAAACATATTAAACACACGAAGAGCTTGGAGTACTACTACATTCCATGTATACTCGAGGATAAACCGACCTGAATATAACCCGAGGCACCTAACCTTACCACAAAAAACTGGGAAAACTTATTGACTCGAGTATAAGCCGAGGATGGGAAATGCAAGCAGCTACTGGTAAATTTCAAAATAAAATTATATATAGCAATAAAATTACATTAATTGAGGCATCAGTAGGTTAAATGTTTTTGAATATTTATATAAAACTGTAATTTAAGATAAGATTGTCTAAGTCTGATTAAATCATCATTCTAACCTTCTTCAATATAAATGTGCTTACGTATCCTTCCAATAATAATAAAGATAGTAAAATAATAAAGGTAATTATAACAATAATGATAGAATATAATAAATGTAATAATAGAGTAAAATAATAAATGTAATAATAACAATAATAACAGAGTAAAATAACAAATATAATAATAATAATCACAGAGTAAAATAACAAATATAATAATAACAATAACAATAATAAAGCAAAACAATAAATGTAATAATAATAATAATAATAATAATAATAATAACAATAAATATACCTTGACTCGAGTATAAGGCGAGGGGGCCTTTTTAAGCCTTAAAAAGAGCTGAAAAACTCAGCTTATACTCGAATATATATGGTATGTTTGAATCAAGACTGGGGAACCTGAGGGTCTAGATGTTCACTTCCAATTCTCATAAGCCCCAGTCAGCTTGACCAATGCTGGAGAGTATCCGCTTTGCAACGTTTGGAGTGTAACAAGTTTCCCACCTGCTATCACTGCATCTTCAAAAGAGCTTAAAGCATGTCAATACCAGAAGTGAATTTCTGATGTTTCCAATTTCAGATGAAAATGTTTTTTAAAATCACATTTTGGGAGAAAATGGCCAGGGTATGTGTGCAAAAATATTCTAAAGCTGCCAATTCCTTGCTTTACAAAATCTATGGCACCCCAGATTTTAATTATTAGATAATCATACATTGCTGCCCAAGTTTCCAGCCACGAGTGACCAAACTCCTCTCCTGTGTTAGACAGAACCTGCCATTAATTGTTTTATTGTATAATTTTTGTGATATATAAGAAAAAAGCAACATATATTCTTCAAGATTCAACAATCAAAATACAAGTATTGTTTCCCCAGTCCTAGCATCTCTCCATTCCCACCTGTGAACCACCATCCATGACTTCCGACACCACACCATATGGAACTAGTATCTAACAAAAATCTGTCCTTGCCATTACATGAATAAATCCCTGTTTGGCTGTTTCAAAATCTATTTTTGTTCTTTTTTAAATACTCAAAGGCCAGTCCCCATCTTTTAGCCAATTCTTCTTTGTTTCCTCCCTTAAGCTAGTGGTTCTCAACCTGTGGGTCCCCAGCTGTTTTGGCCTTCAACTCCCTGGTAAACTGGCTGAGATTTCTGGGAGTTGTAGGCCAAAACCCTTGGGGACCCACAGGTTGAGAACCACTGCCTTAAGCCATTGGAGAGCTTGGCCATTTGATATCCTCTTTTATTCTCCAATCCTTAATAAGTAATTCTTTCCCCCCCTTCTAATATTTTGCTATAATTCTTGCTGCCACATAACTACATAAGATGATGCAGAAATTTGCCAAAATAGTTATATGGCAGCGAACATGTCAATAAATTTGAATTAAATCCAAATACAGAGAAATGTCTGTGCTTGTCATGCACTAGGTCCAAGACTGATTGCTAGATTGAAAACTTCAGTGTAAGAGATGGAAAAGATTTCTCTTTAGGCACTATACTAGTCAAGGCTCAACAATACACTTGCTTGAGCTGGGATAACAAAGCTTCTTATTCTGAAATCAATGGAAAGTGCTGTAGAAAGAAAATTAAAATTAGACTCAAACAAAATTGCTCTAGTACTAGCAGGGGGCTAATTAGCAAGGCGTAACGAGAGTCTGAAGCCTTTCACTTAATGGCTCCACTTTTTCTTTATTATTGTACAGGAAGCCTTATCGCAAGCAAAATTATTTATTTAAAAGGAAAGAATGGGATCTGCTGACAGTGTATTAATACTATTAGGATTAGTACCATTACAAAGCTTACCTTCCAAGCACCGTCATAGCTTCCCCGTCATCTTTACAATTCAGCAGCTTGTCCACATTTTCATCTAGGACTGCAAGTGCCAACTGGAATATCACCTTTATGCCTTCATAAAAGAAGCAGTCCACCACAACCACAGCACTTTCAAAGGGCATAACACTGAGGAAGAGTGTGAGGAACCAAGAAAGGGAGATGGTGGAGATGACGCCCAAGTCCTGCATACAGTCATAAAGTTGGGGAACATAATCTCGAGCTAACTCTTCAAACACACCTTGATCCACTAGAGCACCTGGAAGATATAAGCAGTGTTACATATATGAAATCTGAGTCAGTGTAATGAACAACATGCTCATTAAAGAAAAAAGAGAAAGGATTTTCCTGCTCATTTGGACTGAACGACAGTCTTACTCCATATTGCAAATTAATCAGTGATCGCAATCTGTTAATTTGCAATACATTAGAGTCTCGCTTATCCAACATAAATGAGCCAGCAGAACACTGGATAAGTGAAAATGTTAGATAATAAGGAGGGATTTAAGAAAAGCCCATTAAACATCAAATTACATTATGATTTTACAAATTAAGCGCCAAAACATCATGTTTTACAAGAAAAAGCAGCCCAATACATGGTAACATTATGAAGTAATAACTATATTTACAAATTTAGCACCAAAACATTGCAATGTATTGAAACAGCTGTGGATCCAGGCAGAAGGCAGACTGCGTTGGATAATACAGAATGTTGGATGAGCAAAGGTTGGATAAGCAAGATTCTACTGTATGGAGACACAATAAGCTACTGTAAAAAACTTTATTGTAGGCCCTAAAGTAAGTATTTCGTGTTTGTTTTTGGTTATAAGATGAAAAATAAGAATGAAAATGCTTACTTTAGGACCTACTGCCCTAATCTGGATTGTCATGGAAACTCAACATGAGCTCCTACATCAGAAGACAACATTGATCATGTAGCTCCATATCCCAAGGCTATCTCACATTTACCTTGAAAGAAGCATACTGCCCCCTCCCCGCTGCGCACACACCATTTCTCTGTTGTTGAAGAGCAGACAATGAGTAAGGATGCATTCAGGTATTTTTCTGACAGACATCATCAGAGACATCCCTATAGATTATGTCCTTCCAACATATCTACCTGCAAAGAAAATGGCTGAACACACCTCACTCATTCCAACAACATAGAAATGGCAGTGTATGTGTATGGGTATGCAGCATTTACAAAGTTGGTATTGGATAAGATCCTGGTCATTGTGTGGTTGAACCAAAATTCCAACCCTCTGCAATAACCAAAATACCAATGATCTAAGTCAAAACTAGGACCATCATATGGTAATTCATGAACAGGATGCCATCCATCTTTATCCATTTCTAGTTCAGTTAATACCATTTATCTATTTACAATATATAGCCATATTATGGAAAGTCTGTGTTTGCCTATGAAGTGAAGGAAAACATTATTTTGAATCAGTTCTTCAAAATCACCCAGTTACTAATCAGGGTCAGAACATCAAAGCAAATTTGAGGACAATCAGGATGAGATAAAGCCACTTGTGTCGATAATGGATACAGAATATTTTCCACAGCAAATAAAGTTCTGCATTCTGCTATGGAAGATGCCAATGAAAGGGAAGCATGTCTGAAGAAGCCACTTTACCCACTTGTACACCTCCCAGCACTGTTAGGAAGCAAAATGTGTGGGAAGAAGATGGTGCTTAGCATTTCTTCTAGAAGTTCCTACAAACAGAAGTCACTATAGTAGTGGGGTGTGGAGAAAACTCCCAAGTGTCTCACTGTAAGCATGTGAAGCGAATTAGTTCTCATGCCATGAAAACTGCTAGAAACTAAGGAGGCTACCTGTCATCTTGACTATTTATGTTTACAAGACCACTTTTTTTGCCCATTCTATGTATATTGCAATATTTTGTGAAGGGTTGATGCACTTATGACAATTATTCCTTCAGATAATTTTTCACATCTGTTATAGATCCTTTCCCCTACTTGTACAACAGATCACCAATGTGTCCTCCAATCATTGCATAGTAACATATTTATGTTTCTCCTACCAGTAGATCAGACTCATTTTCTGATGGGTTAAAAAAAGTCTGAAATTTTCAGGGTTTTGGCTGTTTGTAAACACTTTCTTTAACATACCAACAACTCTTGTGTTGTAGTAATCTGGCAACATGCGCTCACACAAGGCCACCAGAAGCCAGAATGCTTCCTCTTCCTTTGCATATAAAAGCAGTACTGACGTAACAATATTCATGGCCTAGAAAAAAAGTTTTTAAAAGAACAGATATTGGATTTTAAACATTCTAGACAACAGATTTAATCAAGCAACAGCCCTAGTTTTTGTCCTAGTTTTAGAAAGCAACGGTGGCTCAAGGGCACAAAATATCTTCCATAAGAACAGGAAGTATGCAAGCTGGACTAGTTTCAACAAGTTTCGACACCCACTCACCCTGCAACTCTTTCTTTCTCAGAAGTGGAAAAAAGAGACTTTTTAAAAGAACAGATGATGTGCCTAAAAGTGGGATTAGGGCCTTAGCTAAACTAAAGCCACTCTTTCTAATAGACATCTAAGAATTGGAACACTTACCAGGAGCACTCCCATTAGGTGGGAGAGTGCAAACTGGTTTTGTTGTAGGTCTTGTTTGACTAAGGACGAAATTTTTAGACAGATCCAAGTCTCCCAAGCTTTTTTTTTTACTAGATTAAAGTTAAGAAACTAAGAAGTCTACATGCAATCTTTTAATGAATAAGGATTCGTCCAATAATTGTACTATGGCAATTTCTCTGCTTGTAAAAATGAAGGTTTCCCCTTGACATTAAGTCTAGTTGTGTCTGACTCTGGGGGGTGGTGCTCATCTCCATTTCTAAGCCGAAGAGCCGGCGTTGTCCATAGACATCTCCATGGTCATGTGACCAGCATGACTGCATGGAGCGCTGTTACTTTACTGCAGAAGCAGTACCTATTGATCTACTCATATTTGAATGTTTTTGAACTGCTAGGTTTTCAGAAGCTGGAGCTAACAGCGGGAGCTTACCCCGCTCCCCGAATTCAAACTGCCAATCTTTTGGTCAGCTAGTTCAGAAGTTCAGTGGTTTAGCCTGCTGCGACACCGGGGGCTCCTCTGCTAGCATAGTGGAATCTTCCAGACTCCATGAAGAGCTATTTAATGTAGACAGTGAACTTTCCTTGAGTGGAGCCCACATGGTTCCCACATGGGACCATGGATAGGGAAGATATATCATGGAGTGCATATGATCGCATAATGCCATTGCTCTTGCTCCCGGTCCATTGAAAAAAGATCCGCAAACCCACTCCCTCATTTAAATTTTAGGGTGGCCTGCTAATTCTCTCTTGGCTCAAAATCAGTAATTTTAGGACTATCCTTTTAATGCCCAATCACACAGACCAGCCTTCTCCAATCTAGTGGCCTCATGATATGATAACTACAATCACATTCTTAATCAGCCATGCTAGCTAGGATAATGGGCTGAAGTCCAACACATTTGGAAAATACCAGGCTGGCAAAGGACTGATCCGGATTAAGAATTAAATCAGGATTAATTTCAGACCCCCCCCCCCCCTTATCTTCTCTGGAAAGAACATAATTAGCACTTTTATGAGCTACCTATTAAGTTTATTTTAATTAAGTACTTTAGTATCATATCTTCAGAGTATCCTGAAAGATTACAGAAATAATACACTTATCAGATCTTGCCCAAAACACCCATGTGTAATTGTTTTTCGGAAGGACAACAAAGCGCTGAGAAGAAAATGAGGAAATCAACTTTATTTCACTTCAGTATCATCTGCAGCACTGCAAGAGATCCAGGGTGACAGAACATAGCCACGTAGCCTAGATTCTTCAGTCTTCACAATGTCTTGGACCAGCACTGCTACTTCTCTAAATTCTGTGCCTCAGCAAAATCTCTATCCCTATGCAAATACTGCTGATGCTAGTGAATTCCTCAGCAAAAGTCCAACTTATAATAGAACTGTGACTTTACCAGCAAATATTCATCAACTGGATACATCAAGCAATTTCTTTTTCTTTGGAGATCTGGCTTCATCACCAACAATTCAACAATCAATGCAGTGATGAGCAAAGGAATTTGAGTTCAGGAGCTTAAGTTACCTGACAATATCCTATGTTGGGGTTTCTAAATGCATAAGCAGTGAGTACCCTCCGCAGAGCAGCAATACCCATCTCGTTCTGGAATGCAGGATGCTCTGGGAGGGAGCGGTGCAAATCCCTCTCAATCTCCTCCGTTGCAAGATTATATTTCCCCATGGACTTCTCCACCAAGTCTTCATAATAGCCAGCGTGGGTGGCCATTTCATTAATAGCGCCTAAAAACGCAAAAGAACACATTGGCAAAAGAGAAAGTAGGTTATAGAAATAGGCCAAATCTCAAAGAGCTGCACAGTTTGCTCTGCATGCCCAAGGAGACACTGTGAGTGTGTGAACAGCAGGCTTTCACCCCACTTGCTAAACCACTTCTTAAACTGGAGATTTTCATAAATAATTTATAATATGACATAGGGTTTGGCTAGCTTTGTAAAATAGGGAATGTCGTCAGACTTTGGGAATGCCTAAAGTACGTAGCTTTCAAGGACTCACCTACTATGCACAACAAACACAACAGATTTACACAAAACTTATAAACTCAAGTTTGTTGTTTTTAGAGCACTGGTTTGTTGTCTTTAAAACATTGGTTTTCCACAGTGTGTTAATTCACCCGCCTGAATTTTGAGATGTTTACTGAATCAGAAGTAATTTGTTGAGTTCAAAGACACTGTATAAAAGGAAGCAGATTGAGCATTCCTTCTTTGGAATGTCAACATCCCTAAATTCATAAGTGGGTGGCTGAGATAGTGATTTTGCTGATAGTTCAGTGTATGCACTCTTTGTTTCATGAATAAAATTATGAAAAATATTGCATAAAATTACCTTCAGGCTATGTCTATAAGGTATACATGAAACATAAATTGTGTTTAGACTTGAGTCCCATCTCCAAGGTATCTCACGATATACATATGTATGTGTCAGAAATATTAAATAATAACTAATTTTTAAATTACAAAAATGTGAGTTAAGCACTGAAAGGGTTAAATGGATACAATGATTCAACAAAAGCCTCAGTTCAATATAAGCAGGTGTGCTTATAACTTAGTACCCTCAGTCTGTGAGAGGTCTCTGTGGGAGAAGGGCCTCAGTGTGTTAGTAGGCCTCAGTATTTGAATATCTCAGTGTTAGTTTGCCTCAGTGTGAGAGAGGGGTCAGTCTGAGACAGCCCTCAGTGTGAGAATGCCTCAGTGGGAGAAAGGCCTCGGGGTGAGGTAGGCTTCAGTGTGAGTAGGCCTTGTGTGTGAGAAGCTTCAGTGAGAGGAAGCCTCAGGTTGAAGGCCATCGTGTGTGAAACTTCAGTGTGTGAAGGCTGCTGTGTGTATAAAGCTACTGTGTGAAGCTGCTGTGTAACTTCGGTGTGAGAAAAAGCTGTGTAAGAATGAAGCTGTTTATCTGCATGCGAAAGAAGCCGAGCGTGGAAGCAAAGAAGGAAGTATAAAGAACTTTAGTTGTATTATGGAAACCTTCTTCTTGCAAATAGTGCAACCATATTATTTTGCTATAAAGAAAAGCCTCCTATGGAAGAGATAACATTGGTCCGTGTGTTTTTGTTCTTTTCATCACTTTTGGCTACTGGTGCTGGGTCACACTGCTGCTGATAACTTACTCTGCTATACATTTTTGAGGAGGGTCTTTTGTTAAGAAGCCCACTCGCCCAACAGTATAAATGCAAGTTTTTCAAAATACAAAACACTTCTGGTCCCAAGCATTTGGGGTAAGAGACACTAAACCTGTACTAGTAGTGGCTTGAGCATTGGACTATGACTCCAGAGACTTGGGGTTTGCTTGGCCATAGAAACATACAGGTTGACCTTGAGCAAGTTGCACACCCTTTGCCCCAGAAAAACAACAATGATATGTTCACCTTAGGGTCACCATAAGTTGGAAACTACTTGAAGGCATGCAACAGCAACAACAACAACAACAGGGTCACATTAAGCAATTTGGGTACATACAAATAAGCAAACGTATATTCATTCAAATGTGTCATCAGAGTTCCATTTCAATATCCTCTGGTGAACTGCTTGTAAATAGGTCTTAACAACTCTCCTTTGTGATTTTCCTTTGACCATTTTCCCAAAAAGTTTGCCTTGTTTTCTAAGTCTCCATACGCTATGAATCTGGGAGGAGACTTCTTCTAAATAACTTTATTTATTTATTTATTATCTTTCTTTATAACCCGTGGGGACTCAGAAACTTCAGTTTAATCCCAAGTATTAAAACACTTTATAATACCAGTTGGTACAGATAAAGATGCCTATCCAATTCGGGCTGCAGTCCTAAACACACTTATCAGTAGGTTAGTTCCATTATATTTAGATTCTCTTCTGATTCTTAGAATTGCAACTGTCAGTTTTCCTTTACTCTACAGTCAAAACATGTCTGATGTTAAGGCCACCTATTTCATATCTAATGTTTTATATCAGTTGGGAGAAACTTGACTCAGCAGTACAGAAAGTGTCAATAATCCACATACCTGACAGAAGCAGCCAGAGTTCCCCTCTCATGCTTTCTGGGATACCTTTTAGCACAAGGTCTCTTGTTTTCTCTGTGCGATACATACAGATGCCTTGTCCGTATTCAGCAAAATGAATCTTCCAAGCTTGCTCTTTTAAAAACTCCTTTGCCTTAAAAAAAATAGCAGAGGATAAATGATAAAATGTAGAAAATACATACAAATCTGTGTAATGAAACAGAGTTATGCATCCAGGAAGAAGAAAATAACTCTCTCTATTACAAGTGGAACCTGTAATCCCAGCCTGCACAAATTAAATAATATCATATTATATTGTACTTATATAAAATTGTAAGTTGCCTTGACTCCTAATTTGTGAAAAAAAATGTAGTATCAATTTATTTATTTATACTACATCTTTCCCCACAAATTGGCTTTACAATTGATCATGTATACAATATAATTTTATATTATTTTATACATGTTATATTATTCAAGTCATATAGAGTGGCATTAGGTTTGAACTACACTTTCCATAATGGCTTTCACTATAATTATTCCAACTTCACATTTATTTGGCATTTACATTATGACTTTGAGATGTTACCTAGATAATGTGGGTGTTTCTGGATCTATGTGGCAATCTAGAAGTTGATGAAGAGATAGCATCTGAGAAAAGTAGGTCTTCACCATTCAGATTTTTTTTAAAAGAAAGACCTTTCTATGTGTATGTGATCACATGAGAACCTCAAAGACACTAAAGGTAAAGGTTTCCCCTTGACATTAAGTCATATCTGACTCATATGGGGGGGGGGGGGGGGAGTGCTCATGTCCATTTCTAAGCCAGAGAGCTGGTGTTGCCTGTAAAGACCTACTAGGTTATGTGGCTGGAATGACAGCATGGAGTGCCATTACCTTCCCGCAGTACGTATTGATCTAGTCACACTTACAAGTTTTTGAACTGCTAGTTTGCCAGAAGCGGGGCTGACAGCAGGAGCTCACCCTGCCCCACAGGTTTGAACCACCAACCTTTCGGTCAGCAAGTTCAGCAGCTCAGCAGTTTAACCTGCTATGCTACCACGGCTCTTTTCAAAGACACTACATAACATTAAAAATATTGTTTTGCTCTCTGGCCTTAATTTCTCAAGCACAAATTGCACAAAGACAAATAATGCATCTAAATTAACTGTAAGTATCTAAATAATATTGAAATAAACTGAAGGAAGGGGCCCCTGGTGGTGCAGTGGGTTAAACCGCTGAGCTGCTGAACTTGCTGACCAAAAGGTTGACAGTTTGAATCCAGGGAGCAGGGTGAGCTTCTGCTGTTAGCCCCAGCTTCTGCCAACCTAGCAGTTTGAAAACATGCAAATATGAGTAGATCAATAGGTACCACTTCGGCAGGAAGGCAGCAGTGTCCAATGTCATTCTTTGTGTAAAAGCATAAAAGTTCTGATATAATCTCTCACACTGGAAATTGCAAAAAAAAGTACCTATACTTTAAGGTTACTGAAAAGTTATTCATGACACATGCAAATGTGAATAAATCAATAGGTACCCCTTCAGTGGGAAAATAACGGTGCTCCATGCAGTCATGCTGGCCACATGACCTTGGAGATGTCTACGGACAATGCTGGCTCTTCAGCTTAGAAATGAAGATGAGCACTGTGAAGATCCCTTACCTTGCCAGCTGGGGGTGGCAGGGCCCAGGAAGAGACAGGCTAGGTAGTTTCAGCTTAGTAGGCCTGGCAGAGAGCTGCAGGAGCCATCTTAGTTTAGGGAAAGCTCCAGTTCAGAGAGGGGGAGTGGCCTAGGCCTGAGCCAGCCCAGCAACAGCCAGGATTGGTTTGTAAAAGGGGGGCGGAGTTAGACAGTTGGAGGGAAAAGAGAGAAGCTTAGTTTGACAGTTCAGTTCAGTTCTGGGTGATGTTAAGAGTAGGATTAGAGTTTTAGGAGTCTCTGTTAGAAATAGGCAGCTTGCCTGTAGTTTGCACAGCAAAGTAGGCTGTGGCAGACTGGTTTCAGCTATTTTAGAGGAGAAATAGCTGGGTTTTGTTTAGGAATTGTAACAAAGAATAGAACCATTCGCTCAAAGCAACCGTTACGCTTCTAAGAACCAAGAACACTTTGATTGTAACAGCCAAGCTTTTGAACCTGCATTCACTTTTATTCTGTAACTTGTATTCAATAAACCTTTCTTGTTATTTTTAAAACTTAAGCCTGAGTCAAGTGCCCTTTGTGGTTTCAGTCCCTTTTCTTTTTTGAATCAACCTCTCCTGGTTCCCCTCAAAGAAGCCCTTGTTAATACACAGTGTTTTGGTGGTCCTAGCAAAGCCTTTTTAGTATCTTGAAATAGCTAGAGGGTTCCTGATTCATTTGATTTATGGTGGCAGCGAAGGTTTTAATAAAGAGACATCCCCTCAAATGCTATAAGTGCCAAAGTGGTGTGAATTCCTTATCAAAGGAGGGACAGTGTTGGGATCTGTTTACCCCCTGTCCAGTCATATTGTTTGGCCATAAAGACTGCCTTTATGATTAGGGGTAGATGGTGGGATTGATCGCATTGCCATCTGCCTGGTTATTATAATTGGTGGGACAGTGGTGGGTTTGTTAGACCCCCTGCCCAACTAGCATAAAGGAGTTATTATAAGCACCACCCCCCAGAGTCAGACACGTCTAGACTTAATGTCAAGGGGAAATCTTTACTTTACTTTAACAGAAGGGATCTTTATCAACTGCATAATGTGTATTCAAATTATGAAATAACTGTGGAAATGAATTTTTCGAGTTCCTGGTAAGAAATATTAGACATGCATTTATTTTATACTATCCTTTTACACAGTAACCATGCAGACATTCTACTACAAAACCTTAACTGAGTAGGGCAAGAAATGTTTTCCTACAATGATTATTCAGCTTAGCTAGCTAGCTAACAAAACGATGTGTTCAAATACAGTTCACATTCCATTTCTTTCTCTCTTTCAAATTAATGTAGCAAGCATTTCTGTAAACTTGATGAGACCAAAAACAGCACAACCTACTAATTTAGGGTTAAACTCCTCTGGCGAACGCCGTCGATACATGGTCATTAGCGCCTGCGTTACTGTTGGGATGCTGTTACCGTTCAAGTTGAAATGCCGTTCTCCATCAGTTTCAGAACTAAGGCTTCTCTGAGGGCTGGATGAAAGGATGCTACTTGCCCTTGAGTATACCTGATGGGGTGAAGGGAGGAAAAAAAACACCATAATTTACAAACCGTGTGGGACTGGGAGTAGGGGAAGGAAGCAGTGTGGATCAAATTGCATGAAGTGTGGTATTATGGTGGCGCCCACCAAGTTGTTAATTGTGGATCTCCACAAGGGCTCCTGAGCTTTTAATAGCCGGGTGCAGGAAGCAGTTTGCCCTGTGTGTCTTCTCTTGTCATGCTGCCCATTTGTCTCTTCTGCCAACTACAGTGCTGAGCTTTGAGTAATTCAAGCTCTTGAGGGTGGGAGAGGAGAGGGCAGCCAGAGGGCAGCAATGCGGCAGTCAAATCTGCTTTCCCCAAAAGAGTTCTGCCCGAAAGTCAAGGAGGCATGAGATGTTCCTACAACCCCCTTTCCCCATTTCGAGTCAGGTGACTGCAGCCTTTTAATTCAAGTTTGAGCCCTGCATGGTGATTGCTTGCAACAGTGGAGTCCTGTCTTTTTTAAACCTCATTAAATAAATTAACTGGCAACAGAAATAAGCTTCAAGAAACACACATTCCTTCCCTTTAGGGAATGTTTAATCCTCTCAGAAAATAATTTCTGAACATCTCCCAACCACAGTACCTGACTGAGATTATGAGAAGAGAAGTGGAAGGTTTTTAGCAAACAGTATAATATGTTTTTAATTACTCTGGGTACGGTCAACATAAGTTGCGCACCCAGAAAAGGTAATACAATGGCATGAGTGCTCCAGGGTGTTCCGCTCCACTGCCTAACAACAGCCACTTGCAATGGGACATTCTCCCTGCCTTCTTGTTTTCCATTTTTAGTGGCAAATAAATGGTTCCGTCATCATGATCTTATGTGCCATGGTGCTGAAACAATGGGAATTGTTTTTAAAAGAATGGGATATCTACTGCAACTGAGAAATTGGCAAGAAGGTGTAGAAAGGATGTCTGGTGGAGAAATTAACAACCTTTCCACATCATATCTTTGAACAAAACATAGAAAAGCAATAGTTTTGGATTACAGCTCCCAGAATTCCACAACTGGAATGACCATACTGATTTGGGAATTGTAACCCTTGAAGTACAACTTCTCTAAGCTCTAGTTCTAAACCACAAATGGAGCAAAGAGGGAAAAGAGTGATTTTTTATACTTTCTAACCATTCTCAGTTTCTCAGAGACGATTATCTGAAGCATATTGTGCTACATGCTTTTGATGCTTCAAATTTAAATCTCAAAAACAATTAAGACAGCAGGCTGGAATTTTCAATGCAAAAATGAGATACTATAAATACCATGCTAAGGGCTCATCTACATGGGCTCAATGGCCTGCAGTGGCTGTGATGTCACTCCAGAATCGCTACATGACCTCCAGGGACTACCTGTCCCTAACGTAGGATAAACTAGGCTAAACAGGCATAGCACCATACTAAGGAAAGTCTTGGTGGTGCAGTGGGTTAAACTACTGAGCTGCTGAACTTGCTGACCAAAAGGCTGATGGTTGGAATCCGTGGAGCCGGGCAAGGTCCCACTGTTAGCCCTAGCTTCTGCCAGCCTAACAGTTCAAAAACATGCAAATGTGCATAGATCAATAGGTACGGCTTCTGCGGGAAGGTAACGGCGCTCCATGTAGTCATGCTGGCCACATGAACTTGGAGGTGTCTACGGACAATGCTGGCTCTTCGACTTAGAAATGGAAATGAGCCCCACCACCCAGTGTCAGACATGACTAGACTTAATGATAGGGGAAACCTTTACCTTTAAGGAAAGTCAGTGAATGCTCTCAAATTTGTGTTAAACTCCGGAGCAACCCCTCAACTAGTTCTGATGTGGACCAGTGCACTGTCCACATGGGTCACCACCACTATCCTTTTCCCCCCTGCACTTGCAAGGGAAAAGGGGCAGATTGGGCCCATGTCACCCCATCTCTCTGCCAGATTGATGTAAAGTTCCAGGAGAGCACCTGACACCAGCAGAGGTGCCTATGTGACCAAGAAGGAGTAGAGATCATTTCCCCTTCTCCTTATTCCTCTGTTGTTGTCAGAAAGTGGAGTCCACAATAGCAGCTCTGTAGCTATGTGACAGCAGTAAAGGGAAAAGTAAGGTGATGACCAAATGGGGCCAAACCGGTTTTAGCTCAGCTAGACCATGTAGACTTCATGCCTCCACCGCTGTCAAGTGATGAACAGTGAATGTGGCGACCGCTAAGGATTAAGTGACCAATGTAGATAAGTTCTAAATGGATGACTTAAAGGCCTGGTCCAACAGATCTAAAGTTGTAAATTAGTTTTAACAAGGACATTACTTTTCAGGTCCAGCTCTACCATTAGAAAAACTGAGGCAGTTGATGCTGGCGGGTGTAGGGGCATGAAGCAAAGATCAGCTGAAAGGAGGCATTGGTGGAAGTCAGTATTACTTAGGCCACATGGGTTTTGTTGCAATCCCTGAAATAAATGGAAGATGTGGTATTACTGTTACAAGTAATTAGAAGTCCAATTGGCTTCTCAATATGGGGCGGGGGGCGGCATTCATATGTACTTTGCCTAAGGCAGTGGTTTTCAACCTGTGGGTCTCCAGATGTTTTGGCCTTCAACTCCCAGAAATCATAACAGCTGGCAAACTGGCTGGGATTTCTGGGAATTGTAAGCCAAAACACCTGGGGACCCACAGGTTGAAAACCACTGGTCAAAGGCAATGCTATGCCTTGAATTTGGCCCTGACGTACAAATATTTATTTTTGCAACAGGTTTCATAACTTCTCACCTACAACAGTAAATACAGCAGCCCTGTCATTTCTTGTTTTGTCTGGTTCTTTCAAATCCCCTTCTTCAATCTTGTTTTACATTTCTAAGAGGAGGTTTACAGTGCTCCTAGTGGACTACCATACATGACAGGAGCATTGCCTTTTTCTTGGTGTATTATAAGATGTGCACATTCACAGTAATTGCTGACAGAAACATTATAGCCATACTGAGCCAAAAGCAGGAATGAAAGGTCCATTGATAACTTTTGAGACCTTTCCAAGACTATGGAAGTATTTATACTTTCAGCCTGTTAATAAATCAATCATGTATTTTAAAAAAGCATGCACTTAATGAAAAATAGCAAAGTTTAGAAAGTCATCTGATTCAAAGGTGATGGCTCACTGCCACAGTTTTTTTTTAAATTCTGACTACAGAGTCTAATTTTATGACTTTGCAAACCGGATTACTACCATCTTAATATTTTCAAGCTTGGTAATTTCTCAAAACTAATTAAAATGCATTTGTCATACAGACAAGATCATTTTTAAAATTAAGTATTGCAATTTCATGTATTTTCCATCATGGTGCATTTTACTGCCATCTGAAAGTTGGCAAAAATTCAACTGCCAATATTTGACATTTTGCTTACCCCAGCATCAGGCAACTTTCCAAACAAAATGGTATCTTCTGAATATGGATACATTTTTCCCCTGAATTTAACCATGAAAGCAGATTTTTATTTAAATTGACGTTTTATGAATCTGGGATGTGAGCTGGTTTCAAAGTCAGCTGAACTGAACTGACTTCAAGGATAGAAAGGATTCTGTTATTTACTCACCTCATCATCAGAACTATTGTAACTTCCAGAAATCTCTTTCTCTGAGTATATTTTGGAAGTTGTTTGCTGAAGAAAGTCAGAAATCCTTTGCACCAGAAAGTCTCTATCTTTCAAATTGGCAAAGAGAAATGTCATTCGGTTTTTAGTGCTGATGGATAGTGGGCTAGGCAGTACACTCGAACTGTCTGCCTTTTCTACAATAGTTACCTAAGAGTAGAGGGAGAACAAAAGGAAAACAAATAGGTAATAATATTATTTTGGATGTGTAGCATATTCATTGTATTTCCTTATGTTTCCTTTGCACAAATCCACAGGTTTGTGAGGCTGACTGCATTGAAATGCCTGATCTCTTGATGTTTTGGATTAGAAGTCTTAAGCATTGGCTCCTGACACACACAAAAAAAATGGCCACAATAGCTAAGGGCATTTCTGAACCAAAACAACTGGGGCCATTTCCCATTATATAATTATAGCACTATGATTCCACTTTAACAGCCATGACAACATCCTATGGAATCCTGGGGTTTGCAGTTTAGGGAAGAATATGTAGAAGTCTCAGCTAGAAAGTCTTAGTGCCTCACCCAACTAGGATTCCAGAGGATGGTACCACTTAATGTAGAGTCATAGGGCTCTATTGTGTAGTATGGAAATTTCCCCTCCCATTTTATAATCCTTCAGTGTACACATATTTCCTCAAGGAAAACAGTTTCAAAAGACTAATCAGATTAATAAAAATCTCAGTGTTCTGAACAGTTTCACTAAGAGAGCTGGTGTGAGAGACATGGCAGAAAATCTCCCAAGAACATGCAGAACAATAACATTGCTTCACTCAGTAAAACTTCTATGAAGTATTTAGGAAATCTCTATACATAATTGTTATTTTTGGGACTATAATCACCAGAATACCCAACCAAATTCCAGCTGAATCTACACAGCCACATAATGCAGCCAAAACTACACTGAACTGCATTATATGGCTCTGCACTGACTATCTCTTGGGAAGACTGGTGGACAAATGTCAGTGTGCTAGGAGAAGCAACGATCATCAGCACTGAAGTGATCATCCTCCACCATCAACTCCGCTGGACTGGCCATGCTGTCCGAATGCCCGATCTCTGTCTCCCAAAGCAGTTACTATACTTCCAACTCAAGAATGGAAAATGTAATGTTGGTGGACAGGAAAAGAGATTTAAAGATGGGCTTAAAGACAACCTTAAAATCTGTGGCATAAACACCGAGAACTGGGAAGCCCTGGCCCTTGAGTGCTCTAACTGGAGGTCAGCTGTGACCAGCAGTGCTGCAGAATTTGAGGCACGAATGGAGGGCGAAAGGGAGAAACGTGCCAAGAGCAAGGTGTGTTAAGTCAACCCTGACCAGGACCGCCTTTCACCTGGAAACCAATGGCCTCACTGTGGAAGAACATGTGGATCAAGAATAGGGCTCAACAGTCAACTATGCAAAGATACTGCACTTGGAAGGCCTTCATACTCAGACAACAAGGGATCACCTAAGTAACACTGGCTATACATGTATATTGAAGTTCAAACTGCATTATTTGGCTTCTTATGGGCAGAAAACTCAACATGGTGTATTTACTTATACCAGGTCAGAAAACTCACCTATCTAGCCCATCTACAGTGTGATCTACTCTGACAAAGTGTGGCTTTCCAATATCTCAGTTAAAGTATCTTTCCTGCCCCCCGTTCTCTAAAACTTTTAACTGAAAGACAAAATTCTGCATTTCTAGCATGCAAAACATGGTGTGTTATCTCTGGTTGATGGTCTGATCTTAAACTCTTTTAACATTAGCTCTTGAACAAATAAGCTAAGGGTTGAAGGGATTGGAGACATCCTAATTTTGATAGTTTGATTTCATGCCCCAAGGATTAAAATGAAATAAACTAAATAAATGAAATGAAGCCTACAGAAAGTCTCCTTCTCAAGTGCAGGAAGAAAAACATCTTATGACCTTTAAATCACTGCTTTCAGATTGTTTATCAGAAGTAATAAAAATTGCATCAGGACTTCGGAGTAATAGAGTTTCAATTCACAGAGGCCTTAGCTTCAGCTTACAGATTTTTTTTAAAAGATCTATGATCAAGCATTACTACAGAGTTTTAATATTTCATTACTGAAAGTTTTTTTTTATCTGACTTCCTGTTACATTGTTTTCAAAGATCTGGCGCAGTATCTAGTTACTGAAATTATGTTTTCTCCATCCTGCCATTTTTATTGTATTTTTTGAGAATAGCTCTCTCTGACCCCATCTATACTACCACATTATGCAGTTTTAAACTGCCTTATATGGTCAAAATAGACTCATATAATACAGTTCAAAGCAGTTAAATTGCATGACATGAGCCTACACTAACAATATAATGCAGCTTTAGTGTAGATGGCCTAAGTCTAAATTACAAGGAAGCCACATTAAAGAAAATTACTTTAAATCAGTGGTTCTCAACATGTGGGTCCCCAGGTGTTTTGTCCTACAACTCCCAGAAACCCTAGCCAGTTTACCAGCTGTTTGGATTCCTGGGAGTTGAAGGCCAAAACATCTCGGGACCCACAGGTTGAGAATCACTGTCCTAGAAGATATTGGAAGAAGATCTGGGGGCAAAAATTGGGTTGCTTTCCCACACGTTTTGCAAGGGGGCTAATGCACCCCCCAGACACCACTAGTTGCCCATATCCACTTTGGATTCAAAATATCCTAAAGTACAAAATAAACATTGATATGGAGTCTTCATTATGTCAATGATCGAATGGCTCAAAAAACATTAGGCTAAATTTCAAAGTTCACTACTGTCATAATGCAAAACTGTTAAAATCACACAAGAGAAGAAAAATGATGATGTCAGAGTCATAGATCTGAATGGACCTCTGCCTACATCAGTGATTCTCAATCTTCCTAATGCTGCAATTCCTTAATACAGTTCCTCATGTTGTGGTGGTCCCCAACCATAAAATTATTTTCGTTGCTATTTCATTACTGTCATTTTGCTACTATTATGAATTGTTATGTAAATATCTGATATGAAGGATGCATTTTCATTCACTGGACCAAAATTGGCACAAATCCTCAATACGCCAAAATGTGAATGCTGGTGGGGTTGGGGGGGATTGATTTTGTCATTTGGAAATTATAGTTGCTGGGATTTATAGTTCACCTACAATCAAAGAGCATTCTGAACTCCATCAATGATTGAATTGAACCAAACTTGGCACACAGAACTCCCATGACCAACAGAAAATACTGCAAGGGTTTTGGAGTTGTAGTTCACCTACATCCAGAGAGCACTGTGGACTCAAACAATGATGGACCAAACTTGGCACAAATACTCAATATGCCAAAATGTGAACACAGGTGGGGTTTGGGAAAAATAGACCTTGACATTTGGGAGTTGTAGTTGCTGGGATTTATAGTTCACCTACAATTAAAGAGCATTCTGAACCCCACCAAGGATAGAATTGGGCCAAACTTCCCACACAGAATACCCATGACTAAAAGAAAATACTGTTTTCTGATGGTCTTTGGCTACCCCTCTGACACCCCCTCGCAACCTCCCCAGGGGCCCTGACCCCCAGGTTGAGAAACGCTGGCCTACATCAACCCTTTGTCAACACCAATGTAAGCAAACATCTCAAACAAAATGCCAGCTTGTAACACCATCAATTTTCTTCTCTTGTATGGGCTTGAATGGGTTAGCCCGATAAAGCCAATAAGCTTCAAAAGCTAATGTGATCCCATTGTGTTAATTAGCTGACTTAATTAAGGTATCACTACAATGTGTATTTTGGATTTTGTAGAGTTTTTGCTGCATGGCCAAAACAGCTACCCCTGAAGCTATTCCTTTGTACAGTAAGATATCTATATTATAATTATAACAACAGCAGTAAGGAGGCGGAAACTGTGGAAATACTCATGCCTGAAAAAAAAGCTACATCAATGTTATGTATATTATACAAACTAATGAATATAGAAATGAAAGGGGTTAACCTCAACACTAGAAGTGAAGTGGGACTCAATGAATTTGGAACAAGCAGAACAATAAACAAAATGGTTTTATACCAACCTCTCGAAGTGGGATAATGAGGCTGCACATGTGTTCTTCCTTGCTAGTGAAACAGATGTAGTTTGTCGAGACAAACATCTGACCTAAAATATGCCTTTTATTAAATGGAGTCCACAGGGTGCAATCTGTATGTCCATCCAGTTTTTCATCCTTTGGAAGGCGGAATAAGGCCCGATACCTTTCACTTTTGGCTCTAGCATCAAGATCCCTGAAGACAGCATTTCAGAATTTCAATGTTCATATTCAAATTTGTGAACTTGCCAGAGCTCAGATAAATTCGCATTGACTTATTTGTGCACAAAGTGAATAATAAGGACTTTTAATACAAGATGATATTCTTTGGTGGCTGTTCCCATACACTACATATATGGCTCATTTACACGAAAATACTTTACAAGAAAACAGGTACCTCACAATTAATATCCTGCCTTTTTTCTACAAAGGGACAGAGTGACAAAGGTGATAATAATTATAGAAAAGCATAAAATGAATACAAGTTTAAAAATATACACCACAAGTTTAAAAAATACAGCAGCCAAAGAAAAGTGTAACTCCCACCTGCTTTAAAGCTCCTTCTATTTGTGGTTGGATCAGTTGCTAATGACGTATCCAGAAAGAAAAGGTTTCTACTATGGCAACAGGGAAGGAGACAGTCTGGACTTCCTCGGTAGTAAGCTATATTAAAATCTGTGGGTGGCCAGTGCACAAAGTTTACCATATTTTAAGACTTTTTGCTACTTTGCAGAAACTGCTTTGTCTTTTAACAAGCACTCTTTTTACTCCTAGGGGGCTAGTAGAGGATGAACAGAGTGGATTGTCTTATTCTTATAAGTAAAATGCAGCCCAGTTTTTGCTTTGCTTTTTAACACAGACCAGAAACTCAATGGTCTGATGAAGAGCCAGAGTGTGTTTTGAGACTCCTATCATGCAGCATTTCAAGAAAGTGGGGCTTGGTTCCCTGCACATCTAGTGTGAAAGCAAAGAAAGGTGGTAGTAAGAGAGAAGAAACACTTCTTCGCCACCAGCACTGGGGTTGGACACATAGAAGGGTGCTTTCTCTTGTTGTTCACCAGCATCTAGCAAGATACTGGAGGTGGGATGGAGAAGTCCTTCTCCCTATCTCAACCTGAGTGAGGAGGACAGACACCTCTATTCCTCTCCTGATGCCTGTTTTATTCTTTACAGGACAAGAAGGAGGTAAAGTGGCCTCCTCCAAGAGATCATTTCTTTCTATTCTCTGAGATAAAATTCCACACTGCTTATGGGAATCAGGCAAATAGTTAAACTCAAAGCTGCCTTATGACATTCCTATTCCCTCTTGATTTTACTAACTGTTATGACTGAGAAACAGCACCCCCCTATAAGACCAGACTATGGGAAACCTATTGCTTGGCATTATAGTTCCCAGAATCCCCCCAGCATGACCTTTAGGAAGCTAGTGAAATCCTGGTTGTGGAACGAGGCATTTGCAGAGTGATGGCTGAGACCGATAATGGACCAAAGTTACTGACCACAATATACGGACTGAGTTGGAAATGATTTTATCTTGGCAATTGGTTTATATGTATTTATTCTATATGTATTGTTGATTCACTGTTGATGATGTATGATGTTTTAGATTTTATTGTTAGCATTGAATTGTTGCTGTCAGTTGGTCTGAGTCCCTCTATGGAGGTAGAGAAGATTGGAATACAAAAGTTTTAAATAAATAAATAATAAATACTTCTTCCATGATCAATCCAAGAACCTTTCCTAAGGATATCTAGAAAATCTTATGGAATATTAATGGAATGTATCCAACATTAAAGTTGAGGACTGGGCTTTAGCACAGTAGGTTAACTGCCAACTGAAGTAAATCTTGCCAATTGAAAAGTTGACAGTTTGAAGCATGGATCGGTGTGACCTCCTGGCCTTTAGCCCAGCTTCTGCCTACCTAGCACTTTGAAAACAAATGTGAATAGATAAATAGGTACCACTTTAAAGAAGGGAGGGTTTTAAGGCACCGATAAGGAAATGCCAGAAAAATGCCGGCAATTTGATCAAGGAGGAAGTTTATAAACAAAGCTCTTTGGCAGGGAAGATGGAGAAACAGCATCCCCTAGCCCCAGTGGCCGGAACCGAACACTAGCCTCCAAGATGCTGAAGATGGGAAGGCATATATATACCTCCATCTATGTACAGTTGTCTGTCTAGTCAATGTACAATGGAATTGAATGTTTGCCGTATATGTATTCTGTGATCCGCCCTGAGTCCTCTTTGGGGTGAGAAGAGCGGAATATAAATACTATAAATAAGTAAATATCCACTTCACCATGTAGTTTATCCCCAATAAACATTAACTTTAAGGTGTGCCATATCACTTCACTATGTAGTTTTTTATATATCCCAATAATAAAGTGTAATAAAGGCAAGTTCTTGCAAAACACTAAAGTATGGCATTGTCATTTAATAGTAAAACAAAACAGAAGATAATTGGTTACTGATGCAAGCAATAGGTCTTATTACAATTAGATGTGCAACCAGTGAATTAATGTAACCAGAAGCTCTATCCTGCATATAGGGGCATATAGGGGCATAAGAATGCAAGAAAGGTCCAGCTGGATCATTACCTATCGCCACAGTTGCTAGCAGGTGCATATGGAAACATCACTAGGAGATCTAGGCATAATAGCACCCTCCTTTCCACCCCCCCTTCCCCAGATGTTCAGTGTTTGGATATTTCTGTCACTCAAAAGATGTTATAGTCATGATAACTCAGAACTATTCATAGCATGGGGCCCTGAATGCACTAGCTCCAGCATTGCATTTCAATCAGCTTCAATTGTGCACCTTCAGCTGCTTGATTCTACTGATGCTTTATTACACTCAAAGGGAATTGCCACTAAGTAGAATTGGGAATATTATTTGTACAGCACTTTCAGAGTTCATGAAGCTTTATGCAGCAACATTTTACAAAATCCAAAGAAACAAGACAGAAACCCAAAGATCTAAATCATGGTTTACAGTAAGAATGAGGGCTTTGGGGGAATGTTGGGATTCAGGCAACAATTTGCCTGTCTCTTCTCTGCCTCAATTCCTCTTTGCAACTGTCCTCATATCAGCACCCAATGATGTCAATAAATCAATTACAGTCCCTTAACTGCCCATAACAGAGAAAAGTGAATGTAACTGGGAAGAGATATGAATCTACTTATTAAAAATTTCATACCACTTTTGAAATAAAAAAAGAAATATACTGGCTTCAAAACTTACCGTTTTAGCGCTGATACTTTTTTAGGGGACTTCTTCTTGAGTCTGGGTAGTGACCTGTCCTGCTCAAAGCCTTCATTGTCCAAGAGTTGCCTCATGGCAATGTTGGCAAGTTGCTCCATGAGTTTAAATGTTTCGTTGATGTTGAGGAACACTGAAAAGAAATGCTGGCTGGACCTTGTACTGACTTTGATCACATCTGGCAAAAGCAGAGTAGCATTCTTCTCAAGCTGGGTGATGTCAACCCATCGGATGACTAGTTTGGCTGATCAAAAGGAATACAAGTTTCAGCAGAGAGAAAGATCACTCTGAATACTCAAAGTCAAAAACAGCACCAATTACAAAAATCAAGGACTTTTTAACAAATATACCCACCATATATTTATACAGTTATCAAATTTTATGACTTTTTGGTACAATCCTTTGAATGTCAAGTGGAAAGTCTCACAGATTTTAATAGCACAAGGGTTTTAAAAAAGTTTATTTTAACTTTTAACTTGGTGTCACAGTCCAAAAACTAACTTTTATAAGCTCATTATGGTACCAGCTGCTGGGATGTAATTCTCATGTCCTGGATGAAAGTTTCTTGTAAGCATTAGTGATGATGATGATCATGTTTATCTATATCCCACTTTTCTCTTCTCATGGAGATTCAAAGTGGCTTACATTAAAAGCATTTCAATACAATTCAAAATATACAATTATACAAACCTTAAAACACAATTAATTATCAATGGTATTACAAAATTCAGTTGAAATTCATAAAAACATATTAAAAGCTAAAACCACAGCACCCCCTGACTTTATCTTTAAAACCTTCTCCTTTAAAAGCCTGCCTGTATAAAAAGGGGTTCAGTCTGCCATTGGAAGGACAGCAGGAAGTTCCAGAGTCGAGGGGAAGCCACTGAGAATGCCGACTGTCTCATTTCCACCAACTGAGCTTGAGGAGAAGTCATATTTGTGTTCAGACAGGGCTAGGAAATGTGCAGCTCTCCGGAGGTTCTTTGGCTATATATTCCATAAAGCTTTAGTCAACACATTATAAGGTAAGGAGAGATGAAAACTGTACTTCAACCAAGTTCTTGAGAAGCAGCTATTCCCCATCTATTTTCAGTGATAGCTGGTGGGCCCTATGCCATTGATACAATGTACAATGGGTACAATTAACTGTGCTTTAGTCCAAACTTTATATCAACTATTCAGAGGGTTGAACTGACCCTCAAAGTAGTTTCAAAATTTTGGCTATCTCCATTAATATTACAACTACAACTTGAAGTGGATTTACTAAGCAGTTCCCATGAGACTAGCTACCAGTGCCTTGTGTATCCAAGTCCCAGCCGCTGATTTCATTGTATTCTGCAATATGCAACAATTTGTACTATTTTGTAGCTGAAATGATTGGAATGAACACACAGGCAGAAAACACCCTGTAGATGTATCTGAGTTGTTGCCACCTGTACTCAGGGAAAATCTGAAGTTGTTTGAAGTTACCATTATCAGATAAATAAGGATTAGCTTTTTTGTTTTTTTCAGTATTTGGTATGTGCATATTTCTGGAAACTGAGCAGAGTAAGCCCTGGTTAGTAGTTGGATGGGAGATCACCAGCTAATAACTGATGCAGTTGGTTACATTTCAGAGGAAGGAAGTAACAAACCACTTCTGAGTGTTCCTTGTCTAAGAAAACCTATTAAATCCATGAGGTTACCATAAATTGATAGATGATAAGAAGGCACACACACACACACACAAACACACATCATTTCTGCTTCTTAACAAATTTGCAAGCACCTGCTTCTTAAAACTAGAGCAAGAATAACTCATTTATTGAAAGAGTTACAAATTCAGCAAAAACTGTAGCTTCTTTCTAGGCTGCATTTGAAACAATGCTGGAAAGAGCATAACATTACTCTTATGAGACCTTGAAAAAAAATCTGTTTGGACCTCTGCTCCCAAAATCCCCCAGCCAGCATAGCAACTCTTTGTAGTCGAAAAGGGTATTTTCCCCAGACTTTGTCTTTGACAGTACTATAGTATGCTCAGTTCCTGTAATACTTTGCATACCATGTCATCTCTGCAGCAATAAACCTATAGCCATATTTTAGATTGTCCCAGAAACTATGGTGGCATCATGGCAGAAGCACAGTGAGCCTGTTTTGAATTTTAGTTTGAACTTTGAAAGAACCATCCAACCCACGGAGCCTGTTTTGAGCAGATTCACTACCCCACTGGTATGAAATGAGTCAGCCACAATTGTACAAAAGTAACACATTTGAAATCTGAAACAAATGAACAATTTTTAAAAGAGAGACAAAACAGCACACTATGGTGTTGTCATACCAACTCCATGAATGCTATCTGAAACAAACTTGTTATGTGTGGTCTTCTATAACACTAATTTCAAAGCACTCTTGTTTTATTTCACATCACAGCTCTGACCTACAAGAAGCACTGCTTAAATATCAAGCAAAAAGTGGGTGTTAGAAACAATATCATATGAAAGCTGACTGGCACAACCTGGGGATCACAACCAGATACAGTGAAGACACTGGGCATGTTGAGTATGCATGACAAGTGTGGAACACATTTCACCATGCTAAAACAGTGGATGTGGCTCTTAATGAGACATGCTACATTATCATAGGATGTCTGAGCCCTACACCACTGGAGAAATTATACTGTTTAGCCGGTATTGTACCACCTGGTATCTACCAGGAAGTAGCAGCCAATAATGAAAGGACCAAGTAAGTGACATCTCCGCTGCAACCCCTGTCTGGATATCAGCCAGCATGCCAATGCCTTAAATGAAGAAGTAGTTTTCTAAGATCTACAGAGATACTTGCAGGAATACCTCAGCAAGCGAGAGTCCAAAAGTTTCAAGCTAAAACCTGGAACCTCAAGCCATGGCTGATACCAAATGAGAGACTCCCTCCTGGGCACACAGAAGACTGGGCGATTTGGACGGCACTGAACAGACTGTGCTCTGGCACCATGATATGCAGAGCCAATCTTAAGAAATGGGGTCACAAAGTGGAGTCCACAACGTGCGAGTGTGAAGAAGAGGAAACCATAGGCAACCAATTACAATACAACCTAAGCCCTGCCACATGCACAAAGGAGAACCTTCTTATAGCAACACCAGAGGCACTCCAAGTGGCCAGCTACTGGTCAAAGGACATTTAGTGTAATGCCAAGTTTTGTAAACTTTGTGTTTTTAAAATACATTACAACTGTACCCTCGGTTCACTTCTGATATGATAAATGAACAGCAAAACTGATAATAAATGCAGAAATTCCTCATACATACCTTCTCTTCCCATGAGAAAGGAATAAAAACACAGGTGATTAATGCTGAGGTACATCCACCCCTGACGTGGGACCTTCCCTTTCCAGTAGCTGCAAGAATAATAATTCACCAGTTTCTCTTCCTCTGGCATCCCAAACAGCTTGTGGAACTTCACTGTAGCTTCCTTAAATTTCTCGGTGTCATCGTCCTCCCTAATACCATTGATTTTGTTATATTCTGCAATGATTCCCTAAAGCAGAAGATCACACAAGACAGATTAATTCAGCCCAAAAATGTCTACATGATTTATGGTTAATTCCCAGATCTGAAGAAAACACACTCATACCCACCAGTCACCCATTTGCAGTGGGGAGTACTCCACAACAAAGCCCATATCATTAAATTGAAATTGTTAAGGCTATCATGAAACAGGGCTGGGGAACATGTGGTCCTCAGGATATTGTTGGATTGCAACTATTATCAGTCCCAGGGTAACAAACGATGTTACAGTCCAACTACACATAGTGAGCAATATGTTCCCTATCACTGTCATAGTATCTTGGAAATAAAAAGGAGAAATTTAGAAAACTGTATGTCTAGGATTCTAATCATAGACTTGGATGAATCAAAATACACTATTAGTTATGCCCCAAAGACTTTAGACTCTCTCAAATAGCATCACTCCAATGGTGATTTCTGGCATATAAGCTTTTGCAATCTTACTTCAACGATACGGTGTGTGTGTATATGTGTACTGTTTGCTGTTGTAAGATAAAGACAAAAAAACCAACAGGGCCCACAGAAACCTCTGTTCAGAGCATAAGGGTATTGTGTGGACTCCACCCTCTGTATGCTAACCTATAACACTGATATGGCTGTTTACACTGGTTTATGCTTCTTTAAACTAGATAAGACCACGTTGTCCTTTGAAACTGTGCTTTTCTAAAACCAGAAAATACAAAACACAAACCAGTAAGGAAAACAATACAATTTTACAATATCGTTTTTCCTAATCCCATAGATAATAAACTGTGCTAATAACACATCAAATACCTGTATTTTTCCTCTGACAAATGTGTTTATGTCATTTTCATTTTCAAAGATAGACAATGTTTGTAGTAAATTCTGCTCAAGCCATTCCCAGTGCTCGGTTATCTCTTTTCTTGAACAACCTAAGGCAAGACCAAAATAAATTACAGGGGATATCTTGCTTCTTCATCATGAAGCATAATTTTTATTGTTTTGCTAGTATGAGCCACAAGATGGTGCATTAAAAATATTAATCAAGAGAGCTGCAAAGAAATGCCCACTATAAATGCTGAAGTAAACCAGAATAGAAGAGTAACTTCATTCAACAGAACATCACAGCTTATCTTATATGCAATGAGAAATCATGGTATCCTGGTATTGAACAAGTCAGGGTTCTTAGGCCAGATTATTTTTCCATACCTTACTTCTCCTACATTTCAGGAAGAACAGATTGAAAAAATCTGATACTCAGTGTAAATAACTTATGGCTCCCCACTGTGTTGAAATCAAGTAAACTTGCTCAAAACCAAGTTATTGTTTCTTGGGAAGCAAAGGTTTTTAATTACATAGACGCATAGAATTGGAAGAGACCACATGAGCCATCCATCCAACCTCCTACCATGCATTTGGTGCCATGAAAGGAAAGGAGAAAATGCTGAGATCTGATTGATCATGTAGTAGGTAAAAAAGGTAAAGATTTCCCCTTGAGATTAAGTCTAGTTGTGTCCGACTCTAGGGGTTGGTGCTTATCTCCATTTCTAAGCCGAAGAGCTGGCATTGTCCATAGACACCTCCAAGGTCATGTGGCCAGCATGACTGCATGGAGCACCGTTATCTTCCCATCGGAGCAGTACCTATTGAGCTAGTCACATTTGCATGTTTTCAAGGTTGGCAGAAGCTGGGACTAACAGCAGGAGCTCACACTGCTCCTTGGATTCGAACCTGCGACCTTTTGGTCAACAAGTTTAGCAGCTCAGCAGTTTAACCCACTGCGCCACCGGGGGCTCCAATGTGAAAGTATAGATTATAATATAGTCTCACATTAAGAAAAAATGGGTTGTTGTAGGTTTTTCGGGCTATATGGCCAAAAACAGGAGAGAGGCATTCTCTCCTGTTGTTTCGCCTGCATCTATGGCAAGCATCCTCAGAGGAAGTTAGGTCTGTTGGAACTAGGAAAATGGGTTTATATATCTGTCCCACCCTGGTCATTCCACAGGTATATAAACCCATTTTCCTAGTTACAACAGACCTAACTACTTCTGAGGATGCTTGCCATAGATGCAGGTGAAATGTCAGGAGAGAATGCCTCTAGAACATGGCCATATAGCCCGGAAAAATCTACAATAACCCAGTGATTCCGGCCGTGAAAGCCTTCGACAATACATTAAGAAAAATGTTACAAAGCATATTCCATGTGTCAGTGGTACTCAAAATGGTGATTGCTGGCATATTCCAGGAAAGAAAAATATGCTTGTACCCAACATGCACAAATGTAGTGCTGATCCCGGTTAAAATGAAAGGGAAAATAACTGCCAGCGCCCCACACCAGATAGCCTGAGAAGCCCTTCAATGTATTACTGAAGAGCTTGTTGTGACAGTGCCAGACAGACAAAGCTACGTGCAACTTGCAAGTCAATTATTTCCTATAAACTAAATTATAAAACACCGCAGAGAAATCACTTTCATGGAATTGTAAGCATAAGCTTATCTCAGGCACAGTTCTGCTGATGAGGAATGAGATCATTTTGTGTGGCTGCCAAGGCAGCATGGCATTTCTTGCACTGCACTTTGAACACAAATCATATCTGAGAGCCTACATTATTTTAGCAATGACAGCAAAGGCTCATATATGATCATCATACTGGGTTTTGCTTGAGATTATGCTATGAAAATGTATTGCTGTAACTCCATATGTGGTTTAAAGGCTTTCTGTAGCTTTTTTTTACACACCTACCGAGAGCCACAAAATAACAGATAGGCCTTGCACTTAAATCAAAATCTCTGGGGAGATGCCATGAATAAATAAATAAGCAAAGCAAGCAAGCCAAGATTCTGCTGATGCAACTATGCTAGTGATGGTTGAAGTGTAAGTGCCATGGAAAGTAGACCAAGGGTGCATCTACATTATAGAAATAATGCAGTTCAACACCACTTTAACTGCCAGGACTCGATGCTATGGAATCTTGAATGTTGTAGTTTGGTGAAGCACCACCACCCTTTGACTGGGAGCCCCCAGTGGCGCAGTGGGTTAAACCCGTGTCGGCAGGACTGAAGACCGACAGGTCGCAGGTTTGAATCCGGGGAGAGGCGGATGAGCTCCCTCTATCAGCTCCAGCTCCTCATGCGGGGACATGAGAGAAGCCTCCCACAAGGATGATAAAACATCAATTCATCTGGGCGTCCCCTGGGCAACGTCCTTGCAGACGGCCAATTCTCTCACACCAGAAGCGACTTGCAGTTTCTCAAGTCGCTCCTGACATGACAAAAAAACAAAAACAAAACCCTTTGACAGAGAAATACAAAGACCTTGTAAAGCTATTACTCCCACATTTCCATAGCTTAAAGCCATAGCAGTTAAAGTGGTGTCAAAGTATATTACAATGTAGACACACACTATATTGCAATAATTGTCAGCAGGAGGGGAATATCGCCAATTTTAAGCTGCATTGCAAGTTGCCTAGAGCACCTGGCTCTGTGGAAGAGAGGCACTAGAAAAACAAGGTGTTCATAATTGGATGCCTTCCCATCATGAAGATGGAAACAACCTTATTCTGCAGTCATCTTTTACGTTACGTTATTTTTGAATTGTCAAAGGCCTTCATGGCCGGAATCACTGGATTGTTGTATGTTTTTCGGGCTATATGGCTATGTTCTAGAAGCATTCTCTCCTGAAGCTTCGCCTGCATCTATGGCAAGCATCCTCAGAAGCTGTGAGGTCTTGTGACCTCATGACCTCAAAACCTCTGAGGATGCTTGCCATAGATGCAGGTGAAACGTCAGGAGAGAATGCTTCTAGAACATGGCCATAGAGCCCGAAAAACCTACAACAACCCAGTACTTCTGAATTGTTAAATTGAGGTTACATCTATAGGATCTCTATATTTATCAATACCACTGGTTTACCGTAATATAGAAGTTTTTTTTCCTGCCTTCGTCCTCATTGTCATGAACTGTGTGTCAAAATTGCCCTTTTAAAATTATCTGTTAATGGTGCTTAATCTCAGCACTCAAATCCAGTTCTTTCAGTCCCACTTTGCACTTCTGTCAACCACGGACTCTTCAAAACCCATGAAAAGTACAAAAGAGTGGCATAAGGAAACACGTAAGCTGCTGTGAACTATGATGGGCATCTCTAGTAGACTCTCTACTTTTGATTAGGTCAAGGGAATAGGACCCTTCAAAAATGGGAAAAATGCAAATAAAAATGCTATTTTACCTTCGAGAACACCTTTCTAAGTATCTCTAGGTTCAGCAATGTGATTCTATGGTTAACTTCTGGATGATGCCTAATGTTCTAGTTAGGAATCTTTTGGTCCTTCAGTGCAACTCTATAGTCAACGTCTGCTGGTGGTTGACTATAGACACATACCAGCGGCATTAAAGATTCCTAGAGAGAACATATTAATCAAATCCATAAATAATCAAATCCACAACAGTTAAAACTTGCAAAGCTGGAAGACTGACTGCAGTGATATTCTTTCTCCACCACACAGCCCATAATCATGGAAGTAATAGAAAATGTTCCTTGCAAAACAATTTACATTCTCTCTCGTGGCATTATATTGAAGCATAGTGCTTATTTGGGGGAAAGTAACTTGCTGTTATAATATGCCTTCAGGAGTGGTGGAGGGCGACTAAAATGATCAAGGGTCTGGAAAACAAGCCCTATGAGGAGCGGCTTACAGAGCTGGGCATGTTTAGCCTACAGAAGAGAAGGCTGGGAGGAGACATGGTGACCATGTATAAATATGTGAAGGGAAGTAATAGGGAGGAGGAAGCAAGCTTGTTTTCTGCTGCCTTGTAGACTATGACATGGAACGATGGCCTCAAACTACAGGAAAGGAGATTCCACCCGAACATTAGGAAGAACTTCCTAACTGTGAGAGCTGTTCAGCAGTGGAACTATCTGCTTCTAGGTGGTGGATGCTCCTTCTTTGGAGGCTTTTAAGCAGAGGCTGGATGGGTATCTGTCAGAGGTGCTTTGAATGTGATGCTCTTGCTTCTTAGCAAGGAGTTGGACTGGATGGCCCACCAGGTCTCTTCCAGCTCTATGATTCTATGATTGCCTCTGCCATATAGTGAACCTATCATAGCACTTCCAAAGCAAGATTTATTGAGAGAATTTTTGCCACTATTTTCAAGATTGTGACCTGCAGGATATCTACTACATTTCAATGAGGAACCAGTATTATTGAATTTATGTTATTTTATTTCCATGGCTAAAAACGTATGTTTTGTGGACAGCAGTTCATTTCACAGATATTATGAAGTGTTTCTAAGTTGGTTGAGCAGCTTAAGTATCCTGCCAAAGTTGGAATGGACCTGGTGGCACAGCAGGTTAAACCACTGAGCTGATGAATTTGCTGACTGAAAGCTTGGCGGTTCGAATCCGGGAGCAGGGTGAGCTCCTGCTGTTAGCCTCAGCTTCTGGCAACCTAGCAGTTCAAAAACATGCAAATGTGAGTCGATTAGTAGGTACTGCCTTGGCAGGAAGATAATGGTGCTCCATGCAGTCATGTCAGCCACATGACCTTAGAGGTGTTGATGGACAACATCGGCTCTTCGGCTTAGAAATGGAGATGAGTACAACCCCCCAGAGTTGGACACGATGAAATTTAATTCCAGGGGAAACCTTTACCTTTACCTTAAGAGCAACAGCTGTAAACACTGAGCTACTACTGAAATGTAAGTAGTCCATATGACAATAAAGAAGGATCCCAAAATCCTTTTTCCACCGAAAAGTTAGTTCACGCATGTAAACACTATAAAAAGCTTTTGTCCCTATTCAAGGCAGAGGAGAAAAGACATCAGCAAACTTTTTGATCAATTCTTGTTCAGGTGTTTCACCCTGTAATCAGTCTTTGAAGTTCTTTTGTTCAAATAATGGCTCTCCTGAGGTCAGACATGGAGTCAGGGTTGTGGGAGATAGGAGTGTTTGTCCATTCGTCAATAAAAGAATTCAAGAATCCTGTCTCCTTGGGGACCTGGTCAAGCTACTGAGATTTTGAGGTAGAAATCCTATCCTCTGGAAAAAGCAACACCCATTAGCTTAAGTCTAGCATTGGGATTGGGGTGTGGGGGGAGGGGTTCTTTCCAATCTTCTTGCCCTCTGTCCCTTTTAAACATGTTTATGGGGGATTGATATAGGAGGGAAAGGGTCACCTCCTTCCAATTCTGCCAGTCGAATGGATTCTTCAGATCCTGACCTTGTCACCAAGGGAGGAATCTCAGGACAAGATTAGTCTTGAAGTGAGTATGCGTGCAAGGACATGTTACTATGTGTTCATGCCCCTTCTGCAGGCTGCTGTTATAGACTGGCCAGGGGTCCATCTGATCTGTTTCACCCTTCCTCCTCCCCATTCAAACTTCACTAGGTCCTATATTTTGGCCATGAAGTCCCAGGATGGGATGCTTTTGACCTGACAGCAGATTTAACAGTTACATTACACACATATACAGATATAAACATGCTTCTACAGTATTCTTACAGAGACATAATCAGGAACCCCCAGTGGCGCAGTGGGTTAAACCCTTGTGCTGTCAGGACTGAAGACTGATAGGTCAGAGGATCGAATACAGAGAGATACAGATGAGCTCCCTCTATCAGCTCCAGCTCTCCATGCGGGGACATGAGAGAACCCTTCCACAAGGATGGTAAAACATCCAAATAAATCTGGGTGTCCCCTGGGCAACGTCCTTGGAGACGGCCAATTCTCTCACACCAGAAGCGACTTGCAGTTTCTCAAATTGCTCCTGACATGGAAAAAAACAACAGCAGATACATAAAGAGGAAGGAAATAGTATCGCGGAACAAGAAGAAGAACACAAGGTTCTGAGCAGGAAAGTTACATTTTTGCACTAAGATCCTAGAATAACAATTAGCTATGTTGACATGCAAATTGTAAGAAGCAAAGCTCTGGGAAAGAATACATATACTCATGTCCCATTTGCATGATGATGATGATGGCCATTTTAAGATTTACAGATTACATCCTCACCAGGCTATACTGACTCCTTTGGCATAACCTGTCTTGCTTTCAGGAGCCTACAATGCAATGCAAAAAATATCCATTTAAGTAGAATCTGTTACTTTTCAACCTTACAAGGAAACAAAACTCAATGTGGCTCATAATTTAAAATAATTACAAAACACACCACAGTTTACAATATGCAACAATATCAATAAATCCAACTGCCAGTTACAGTAACAAGTTTCTGTTGGCAGAAAACACCCCCCAATGTAAGCCTGGCTGATTGCAGTGTAGTCTTAAGATCGTCCGGGGAGGCCCTGCTCTCGGTCCTGCCGGCGTCACAAGCGCGGTTGGCGGGGACGAGAGACAGGGCCTTCTCGGTGGTGGCCCCTCGGCTATGGAATGCCCTACCAGTGGACATCAGGCAGGCTCCTTCGTTACTGGTGTTTCGGAGGAGGGTGAAGACGTGGCTCTATGAACAGGCATTTGGATAACTATGCAATGACAATTAACTCAGTAAGACGGCATTGGAACAAGGAACGGAAAAGGATTGTGAGAACGGGATCTGATTCTAATTGAGGCGTCGATGACTATGTGTGTTGTTTGTGTATGTGCATCTTATATATTGTTCAGTGTTGCCCATTTTTATTGTAAACCGCATTGAGTCGCCATCTCAGGCTGATAAATGCGGTATACAAATGGAGTAAATAAATAAATAAATAATAGTCTTTCTACAAAATAGGTATCACAATGGAGAAGGCCTACCTCTTCCAAATTAATATCAGTAGGCAATTGTAAGTTATGCAAAGTCTGCCCCACAGAATATAAAGACCAGGATAGCCTAACCTTGAGTTGAACTGGTCTGAGCTTTGTAAAGAAAGAACAATATTTTTTTAACATGGCTCAGTAGATAACTGGCAGCCACTTCAGGAATCTTATATACAAAGTAGAAAGCTCAACTGATCTGTCAAGCCACCTCATTTTGTGCAAGTTGCAGCTTCTGAATGAATCTCAAGGAAACCTCCATAAAGCACACCAATTCTTTTGGTCACATAGGCATATAGCCAGGCTAAGCCTGTTAAGAAATGGTTGTTGCGGGAGACTGTCCACACTGTAATGACATATAATGGAACAATATAATGCAGACTGAATGGCTTCTTAATATTTTCTGGTCTACTAATTATAAAATCAAAACTAAGATGTAAACTTAGAAATGTTACTTTTTTTTGGATTAAATCTACCAGAATTCCCTGGTCAAGATGGCCCCTGGCCATACTGGTTTGAAGATTCTGGGTGTGGTAATCTACAAAAGTAACTCTTCCATTCTTTGGCTAAGACTAAATGCAGGACACTGACATTTTAAAAATACATAAAATTGATACTCTGTATGACAGTTTGCATACTTACCACAGGCAATAGTCCAATATATCATTGAGTCTGGAGCCTGGTACAGAATTCTATATGGTGCCACTCTTGCACTTGAATCTAGTACAACATCAAGAGTTCCCACAAGGAGACCTGCAGAACAAGAAACCCATTGGTAAATACTGCTGGTATGGATGACATAAAACTTGTAACACAACATTCTTCTAACAAAACGGTATCAAAGGTATGTGAAATATATAGTAGACTCAAAACATGCACATGATTGTTAGCCCTGGACATGAATGCTATGTAATTAATATGTGACTCTGAATTGGTTGAGTAGCTAGGAAAACAAGCTAGAACTGAATTCTCATTCTGTGTTGAGGTAGAACAAGCTATGATCTTAATAAGCTCACAAGACAAAGACCTAATGGTTTTGAATAGTGTTTTGCAGCTGGGTAACAAGCCATGGTTTGCTTACAGAGCAGATTCAGATACAAGAATTCAACAAATCTGTTTTATTCTCATGTTCAAATACCATCAATGCAAATAATGTTGATTAAATCACTCCTCTGTGCCTAAAAAAAGTCCCCCTGCCCATGAATATACACTTTTATCCTTAGTGCCTGATAACTGTGTGAGAAACATAAAACCAATTCAACCAGGAGCACTGGTGTAGAAACTATTACAATAAGCTGAACTACCGTGCAGAAGGAGTGACCAATTCTGCACCAGTGGGCCACACAATTGCATAAATCTGCAACTAGATATAATGCCAGTTTGAGACAACATAGTGTCTGTTTATGCATTGGTGGGTTGGTGGCTTAGGGACTGGTGAAAGGAGCAACCCTTTTTGCAGCAGTTTTGAACTGTTTGGTAGCATTTGGGGGTCAAAGCCCAAGCCAATTAAACTGGGGGGGGGGGGGGGGAGGCTTCTGGCCAATTGCAAAAATGGAAGAAACTGCAGAAGAGTTCCCCATACCTGCAGTACAAACTGCTCCTCTGTTGGTGCTTAAACAAGTGCTTATAAAACAGTGCCAGTAGGTAGGTATTTCCTTCAGCTCACTATTGTTCAGATCCAACCTAACAAGGTGTGGTTGGATGAATCCACGGATACAGAAGCCATGGAATGTTGACCACAATTATCATCATCATCACCATCATCATCACCATCATCATTTTATGCAAACACATTAAAGATGTCAAGACACATACAACCAGAACTGCTTAACTAATCACAAACTGTTTCCCAGACTTTGACTTTTTTATTTTGGTAACCCTCTTGCTCCCATGGGATCCAACATGCAAATGTGAGTATTTATTTATTTAAAAGTTTTGTATACCGACCTTCTCACCTCTCTTGAGGGACTCAGACCGGTTTCCAACCATAATATCACATACAATCAATAAAACATCATAATACATATTACAGTAAAACATTAAAACAGCAATTAAAATCAATAACTATAATGGTCAGTCGTCACACTAAAATCGGGACAGATACCAAGAACCACCTCCACAATTCTAAACAGATCCAAATTAAAATTTCTGTGATGTTTGTAATTCAGATTTTGTAGACATCAAAATGATACAATACATCTGTATATTTTCATGCTGTTTTAATAAATTATGTTTTTAACCAAAAAAAGTATATGACAAACTATAATATCACATACAATCAATAAAACATCATAATACATATTACAGTAAAACATTAAAACAGTAATTACAATCAATAACTATAATGGTCAGTCATCACATTAAAATAGTTGCTCATCATCCTCCACCCATATCTCAGGGTGTTGGCTCACTCGTCGAATGCCTGTCTCCATAACCAAGTCTTCACCTGTTTCCTAAATGTCAGGATAGAAGGGGTGGTTCTGATCTCCAGTGGGAGAGAGTTCCAGAGTCGAGGGGCCACCACCGAGAAGGCCCTGTCCCTCGTCCCCACCAGACGCCCTTGTGAGGCCAGTGGGACCGAGAGCAGGACCTCTCCAGACGATCTTAATAATCTTGATGGTTCATAGGGGAGAATACGTTCGGAGAGGTAAACAGGGTCCAGAGTCGTTTAGGGCTTTATAGGTTAACACCAGCACTTTGAATTGTGCTCGGAAGCTAATTGGCAGCCAGTGGAGCTGGTGTAACAGCGGAGTGGTGTGCTCCCTGTACCCAGCACCCGTTAGTAGTCTGGCTGCCGAGCGTTGGACTAGTTGCAGCTTCCGGGCAGTCTTCAGAGGCAACCCCACGTAGAGAGCGTTGCAGTAGTCTAAACGGAATGTAACCAAGAACATATATACAGGCAAATGGATCAAGCAAATAGATCTGATTTGAAATTGCTATTATTTCTGCAACTACGAACCATCCATGAATGAAGCTCTTCCCACTTGAATGGGTGGGGCATAGAGTTTCAAATGATTACGGCAATATGCCTCCCACAGCACACAAATAGCCCTAACTTCTGTCATTCACAAGATGGCAACCCTTCAACATAAGGCTTTTTTTTCATTCTGCAATTCAGCAAGACTGAACCCATAACTGTGGTGCAGTGTATGTTTCAACAGCATTATGGCATTGATCCACCAATACCAAGGAGCATTCGTCATTGGTACCAACAATTTGGGGAAAACAGACTGTTTATGTAAGGTAAAGAGCTTATACTACACTGCTGTGAAATTGGGTCCATCATTTTGAAGCACCTTGTACACGACAGTCTCTTTTGGTTACTATGGAGTCAAAACTATAAAGCAATACTTTCCTCCACATAATTAAAATCACACTGTTAATAACCAGTTAGTTGAGCTTTCTCCTCTGGAAATGTATCTGTGTTCTTAGTCCTTTGACCAGGAATAAATAATCCCTCCTTTCCTCTCATTCTATGCATGCCATTAACTTTCTCCCCTTCACTTTAGTCTCAAGTCAATAAGAGAAGCATAGTCTACAAATTAACACACTGAACTGCATTCTGTTCCTAAATGAACACTGAATAATAAATAATTGAGAGTCATTTGAGACATTGACCTTCCTTGTCATGTAGCTTCTGTGGCCTTCATTGTTCATGAAGAAAATGCTTCAGTGAGCATTTTTTGGACATTTCCTTGTCAAGTTATACCTGTAGCCAAGAACTAGCTGTCATGAATACTTGAATTGTTTTCTTTTGATCCATATTCCTCTGGATATATATAGTAAGGACAATTAGGTGGTCTTAGCTTCACTAGTTACAGACTTCTGAAACAGGTTCTCAGGTTGCATGGAAGTTGCGGAGTGTAAGACCGCCAGCAAATCTGATGGAAGAAGTGGGAAACCAACTTAAGTATCCAACTGGATACTGGTCAAGGAGAGGAAAATTTCCAATATAGCAGCTCAAGTCTGTCTGAATCTTAGGTCACCCTTACACACATAATTCAGGAGAAGAAATAGTACATGTCATAGAATCATAGAATTGGAAGAGACCTCGTGAGCCATCCAGTCAACAAAAAATTGCATTCAAAGCACCCCAACAGATGGCCATCCAGCCTCTGTTTAAAAGCCTCCAAAGAAAAGACCTCCAACACACCCCAGGGCAGAGAGTTCCACTGCTGAACAACTCCCACAGTTAGGAAGTTCTTCCTAATGTTCAGGTGGAATCTCCTTTTCTGTAGTTTGAAGACATTGTTCTGTGTCCTAGTCTCCAAGACATGGAACAAAGAACAAAGAAAACATGCCTGCACCCTCCTCCCCATGACTTCCCCTCACATATTTATACACGGCCATCATCATGTCTCCTCTCAGCCTTCTCTTCTGAAAACATGCCCAGCTCTTGAAACCACTCCTCATAAGGCTTGTTCTCCAGAGCCTTGATCATTTTAGTCGCCCTCCTCTGGACACATTCCAGCTTGTCAACATCACTCTTCAACTGCGATGCCCAGAATTGAACACAGTATTCCAGATGTGGTCTGACCAAGGCAGAATAGAGGGGTAGCATGATTTCCCTGGATCTAGACACTATACTCCTATTTATGCAGGCCAAAATCCCATTGGTTTTTTTAGGTGCCACATGACATTGTTGGCTCATGTTTAACTTGTTGTCCATGAGGACCTGAAGTAACTTCCTATGGTGTCACAATAGCTTTAAAAACACTTTCTATTTTATACCTCAGCTTTTTTGGCCACACTGCTGTTTTGTTATGGCTTGTGCCTACAAGTCATTTCTGAATGATGGCAACCCTAACACAGGATTTTCACGGCTAGATTTGTTTGGAAGAAGTTTGCCATAGCATTTCTCTTAGGCTGAGAGAATGTGATTTACGCTAAATCAACTAGTGGGTTACATGGCTGAGCAGGAATTTCCAAGTAGGGAAACGGAAGCTTTTGGAGATGTATGAAAAAGTATCTGCGTGCTGATACTCTCTCAACTCTCTCTTGAAAGGACTTTCAGATTCTAGGGGCAGCTGCTGAGAAGTCTCTATCACACAATTCTACTAGTATGGCTATGAAGAGGACATGATTCAAAGAAGGGCCTTTCTTTTGCTTTGGTTCAAAAAAGGAGATATAGTCTGTCAAGATTGTCTGGATCAAGGTTTATGGGAATTTATACAGTATCAACCAATGCTACACAGAGACAATATGATAGGGTAGCTGGAGATACGAGAACCTCCAGACAGATAGGAGCCAGTAGTATTTATAAAAAGGCACTGTGCAACTCGTAGGGCTTTTCCTCCTCTGTGGATCTGCTATGGGAAAGGAAGGAGAAAAGAATAGAAGATGCTTTGGAGGAACCCAGAAAGATTACAAAAGGAAAATAAATTCTGTAACAGAAAGAGAGCTCAATAAAATTCCATGAATGAGAAGGAAGGACAATGACAACATTCAGTCTTTATCTAGAAGGACCTTTTGAAGGATCCTATGCCATATAAAATTGAAAAAAGGATGGGGCTCCAAGAGAACCAGTAATAAAGCCTGCCATGCATGAAATGGAAAAGGAAACAGCAGATATAACCATTTGTGAAGTGGATGTTGGCTGAAATGAAATGTCACACTGCCATATCTGTGATTCCAGAATTATTTTCTGTGACAGCACAGAATGAGAGTGAGATTGAGGAGATAGATTTCTTCTCCCCAAACACTTAACAGCTCTTTCAGACACATTTAGACAACAAATCCTGAAAAAAGTCTCC